TTTTTAGTTGCGCAGCAATGTTCAATAATCTGCATCAAGTGATTTGTTCCTAAACAATATGTTTTCCGGTTTATTTTCAGAAGTTAAAGGAAGTTTTGGCGACAAAATCTGATTTTACGATCGCTATTTCTTTGCTACCTGATGGTGTAAACCTTTGATATTTCAATTACTATTATTATTTGATCTAAAATGATTCATAGTTTGAAATATTTAAGGTCTCCGACATTGTGTTTCAATTAGATATGGATAAGAAAATCAGAATGTGACAAAGACTCAATTCCTTTGCTTGTTAAAATACCTAATTACATATAGTATTGTGGTTCCATGCATAGGAAAGAGATGTAACATATGGAAATTTTTAAATACTTCCGGTTGATAAACTGATGAACTGTATAAATTCAATACCCTATGATTGAGTGTCTTTAAATTGAAATGTTTGATAGGACACAAAATGTTAATTATTCCTTTAAAAAAATTAAGTTATTGTATAGACTGCCAGATTAGTTTGACAAGCTCAGAACTCATGAGTTCATTTGTCAAATTTACTAACACTGCCTTTTGGGCTCAGTTTCATTTGCCATAATATTTTTGCCATAATTACACTTGACATAATACTTTTGCCATAAGTAACACTTGCCATATGTTACACTTGCCATAAGTCACACTTGCCATTATGGTTACACTTGCCATAATTACACTGGCTTTAATTACTTTTGTCAAAATTTTCTAATTTCTTAAAAGATGTAAAACTGTCTTTTTTATTGCAAATGTGGGAAATTTTCCCATGAAAATTCCCAACTTTAATTTTCTCATTGTTTTAAAACAGAACAGTTGACACAAGTTCAGCTCCACATTTTCTCACAATGGAGGACCCTTTGGTGACTTTTGAGACCATAAGTAAGGGTAAACTAATAATTCGAGACAGCAACAACTACACCTATGTAGTATGTAGCCAATGCCTCGTCTACAGCAGTGAAATATTGGAAATGTTCGGTTAAAATGTGCTCAGCTAGAATTCGAACCCGAATTTCATCCTCAAACCTATGAGAGGATTGCTAACATTGTCCTACAGTATAATACTCTTCCCATAGAAGAGTACCTAAACCTGATAGCTCATGAACTGTCTCTGCATTAGATTTGTAATTTGTATTCAATTTGTAATTGTAAAAAAAAATATAAATATATGTTTGTTAATTCAAACCAAATTTGATTTTAATTAGGGCAAGAGTAATTATAGCAAGTGTAATTATGGCAAGTGTAACTTATGGCAAGTGTGACTTATGGCAAGTGTTACTTATGGCAAACGTAATTATGGCAAAATAATTATGGCAAAATATTTATGGCAAAAATATTATGGCAAATGAAACTGAGCCGCCTTTTGATGTAAAATTCCCAATTTAACAAAATCTTTAATTTTGTTGAGAAGTCAGAAAGTAATTAAGGATTGTAAATTTCAAAAATATTTTAAGATATAGGTACAGGGTGACCCAAAAAACAAGAATTAGCGTTTTTAATCTTTTTAAATGACTCGAAAATGTACTCTATATTACATAGTTTGTGATTGTGCCCATTGGTTTGGCATTGATCGATTAAGGGCTAGTGTCCATGTTGACATTGATAGCTGGTCTTTGTTGAAACATATGAGCTGAGATCATGTCCATTGGTTTGGCATTGATCGACTAAGAGCTTGTGTCCGTTTTGACTTTGATAGCTGAGCTTGTGTCCGTGTTGACATTGATAGCTGAGCTTGTGTCCGTGTTGAAATTGATAGCTGAGATCTTGCCCATTAATTTGGCATCGATCAACTAAAAGCAATTGTGTCTGTGCTGACATTGATAGCTGATAGCTGAGTTGTACCTGGATTGATACAGATCTGGAAGCAGTTTTACGAGGACAACATTTACTACAGGCTTTCTTCAGGATACTAATATATATATTATATAAAACAAATAATATTTAGAGTGACTCAAAAAAATATTTACGAAAAGGATTAACAATTCAATATTGTCCAATGAAGGTTTTACTTTAGCATGTTTTTAATTTTCTGAATCAATATAATTCTAAAAGAAAATTAACTAATAACAATTTCAAATATTACCAAACATCAAAATAAAAACTGACAAAAAATTCAAATATTATGAAAAAAGGAATATTTTATAAAATTTTCAGAAGGCGGACTGACCATTTAAAGAGTAAAAGTTAATCATTGAATCCCTTAAAATCCCTTCGTTCGAATTTTTCAGAGAGTAACTAACTGACATACTTTTATAAACTACGGGATTCAATGAAAATTGTTACATATAAAAAACCAGCTTTTGTGTAAATTTTTAAGGCATACTTTTTACTCTTTTCCTACTAACCTGAAAACTTAAAAATACGTATGACATACGTATATATACGTTTTTAGGTTTAGGAATACTTAAAAATACATATGTTGTCGGATAGGAACAAGATTCTGACGATGAACAGATAGACAACGGAATAACCCTCAAATCAAAATCGATAATGCAGAAAACTCTTTATTTCCTAAAAAAAATAAAATGAATAATGATAAATAATTATTACAATGGTTTACGAATTTATAATGAAAAGATTCTTACGATCTATTTGAGTATTTGTGGGTTAAACTGTCAGGGAGTCCTAATACGCTTTTTTATACATTAAAACTGCTGAAAAGAGTGACAATTAAATGTTAAGGAAAGTCACTAATTCTTTATATGAAAATATTCTTTGCTTAACTTTGAAGTGGTTCACAATTAATAAAAGTGTTTATATTCCGTTGTCGGAGAACAAAGAGAAGCGGGCTGAAATTGTTTGGTTTGGTTTCTCGTCTCGGAGAGGAGCTTTTAGGTTGAAGACGACATTACATGGAGGGGGGGGGGTCTTAATGTTAATGGTTGACAACGTATGACATACGTATTTTCGTAACCATTTCCTTGGTAAAAATATGTATTATATATCCGTAAAAATACGTATTTGACAAACGTAAAAATGGGTATGTGAAAAACCTAAAAAACCCAATGAATCAGGAATTTTTAGGTTTTTCCTATACGTAGATTTAAGTTTGAAAAAATCCTAACATTTCTTAATTTCTGGAATTTTTAGGTTTTACCTATACATAAAAATACGTATTTTTCAAGTTCTAAAACCAAAATGTTAAGAAGTGGACTATAATTTTGCATGGGCATTATTCAGAGGCGTATTCAGGGGGGGGGGACTTACAGAACAATTCTCTTAAAAAGAGTAGAAAATATTTTAAAATTCTAACTTAAAAATGCATTTTTGTGCAGTTGAGGTTTCGTGAATATATTGACACTTAAAAAATTACTTGGTATGAAATTTACGCAAATATACGTATTTTTAAGTTTGCCTCAAACTTTATAACTCTTAAAAAAATTAAGTAAAGAAAACTACGTAAAAATACGTATAGTAAAAACCTAAAAACTTTGAAACATTTCTTGGTATGAAATTTACGAAAATATACGTATTTTTATGTTTGCATCAAACTTTCAAACTCTAAAAAAAAATACAACTTTTTAAGTAAAGAAACCCCCTAAAAAATACGTAAAAATACGCAAAATAAAAATCTAAAAACTTTGAGACTTGGTATGAAATTTAGGAAAATAAATGTATTTTTAGGTTTGCATCAAACTTTTAAACTCTAAAAAATACAACTTCTAAAGTAAAGAAAAACCATAAAAATACGTAAAACTACGTAAAATAAAAACCTAAAAACTGAAAAATTTCTTGGTTTGAAATTTACGAAAATATAAATATTTCTAGGTTTCCATCAAACTTTCAAAATTAAAAAAAAATACAACTTTTTAAGTAAAGAAAAACCCTAAAAAATACGTAAAATAAAAACCTAAAAACTTTAAAACATTTCTTGGTATGAAATTTACGAAAATATACATATTTTTAGATTTGCATCAAACTTTCAAACTCTAAAAAAATACAACCTTTTAAGTAAAGAAAAACCCTAAAAAATACGTAAAATAAAAACCTAAAAACTTTGAAACATTTCTTGGTATGAAATTTACGAAAATATACATATTTTTAGATTTGCAACAAACTTTCAAACTCTAAAAAAATACAATTTTTTAAGTAAAGAAAAAACCTAAAAAATACGTAAAAATACTTAAAATAAAAACCTAAAAACTTTGAAAAATTTCTTGGTATGAAATTTAAGAAAATATATGTATTTTTTTAGGTTTGCATCGTACTTTCAAACCCTAAAAAAAGCTACAACTTTTTAAGTAAAGGAAAGAACCTAAACAATATGTAAAAATACGTAAAATAAAAACCTAAAAATTTAGAAAAATTACTTGGTAAAAAGTATACGTAATTTTTCGTATAAATACATTTCTGGAAAACCAAAGCTTTAAAAAAATTGCTTGGTTTGATAAATACGTAAAAATACGTAAATATACGTAAGTTCTTTGGCCAAAAGTTGAGCATATGTATTTATACATAAAAATACCTATTAATACGTATACCTATAAAGAGAATAAAAATCTAAAAACTTTGAGATAGTATACTTGGTATGAAATTTAGGAAAATATATGTATTTTTAGGCTTGCATCAAACTTTTAAACCCTAAAAAAATACAACTTCTAAGGTAAAGAAAAACCATAAAAATACGTAAAAATACATAAAATAAAAACCTACAAATTTAGAAAAATTACTTGGTAAAAAGTATACGTAATTTTTCGTATAAATACATTTCTGGAAAACCAAAGCATTAAAAAAAATTGCTTGGTATGATAAATACGTAAAAATATGTAAATATTCGTAAGTTCTTTGGCCAAAAGTTGAGCATACGTATTTATACATAAAAATACCTATTAATACGTATACCTATAAAGAGAATAAAAATCTAAAAACTTTGAGATAGTACTTGGTATGAAATTTAGGAAAATATATGTATTTTTAGGCTTGCATCAAACTTTTAAACCCTAAAAAAATATACGTAAGTTCTTTGCCCAAAAGTTGAGCATACGTATTTATACATAAAAATACCTATTAATACGTATACCTATAAAGAGACTTTGGTATTTTTAGGTTTTCAGGTTAGTAAGGTTTGTTTGCAATTCGCTATAAGATCTATAATATCTACATATTTGTATTGCAATTGTTCAAATTTAGGGTAGAAAGAACTGATGAGAACAACACTGCAGCCTCTGTTGGAAGGGAAAGTATACATAGTTACTTTTAGTTGGGGCTTGGAATATGACCATGTGGGGTCATAAACCAAAAATATTGTTGTATATAAGTACTTGTGTTTGGATTACGATGTTTCAAGGGCAAACTATATCTGGTGCATATAATTGTCTTGAGCGCACTACTTTAACACCAACAAGTAAACCAATAGCAATAGATTCTACAGCAGAAGGTAATCATATATAGTATTAAAACTATAAGGTGAATAGTGCGGCAACACATTCAAAAATTTTGGTAATTGGTCCATAATTATTTCCACAGATATTTTCTTAAAATTATTCCTATAAATTGTCGAGTCACAAGAGTCTCAATAGTCATTTCAAGTTTAATTTAGGGCAAATATGAATCAATATCAATAGGGTTGAAAATTCGATTTCAAATTATATAATAGATACAATAAATCTATATATAAATTTGGCTTGTCTGTCTGTTTGTTTGTTTGTATCCAATAAACGTCAAAACGGCTGAACCGATCGGGCCCAAATGTTTTGTGGGACCTCACGTGACCCCAGGGAAGGTGTATTAATGATCAAAATTTTAAAAATTTGTGTTTAAAAGTTTTTTATTTTTGAACAAATTTGAAAATGTGCAAAAAAATATTATGAAATCCGCAAACTTTTTTTGTTTTTGTTTAATACTGTACAAAGAGAAGATGTTCAGAGATAAAGCCACCATTAAAAGTTGAAATAGAAGATGGGCGCGAAGCGCCCTAAAAGCCTAGTATATAATAAATTCATAATAAATCATCTTTTTTTTAAAGCATTAATTCCACTTGTTTTTAAGCCTAACCTGATTTAAATATTGAGTAAATTTATAAAATCGGTTTGAATCAAGTTTTAATCATTAATTTATAATTTTATAAATGTATTTGTTTAATAAAGTATTTGAGAAGAAGGAATTATATATTAAAATATTCATTAAATTTATGAAGTTGGATTAAGTTTTAATTATTCATTTATGAAAGAAAAATCAATTATTCAAAGCATAGCTAACTTTGTTTAAAAAACAACTTTAACAGCTATGACTATCAATTTTACACTTTGTGCATAATGTCGAAAGTCTTTTAAAAATTATACTGATTGAAGCCTATAGTATCTACTTCATGCAAACTTACAAATTGCACAAATTGCAATAATATAAACGCTTTAAATATAAGTCCAAGTGCACTTATTACCAGTGAGTTGTAATCTTTTTTTCTTTTTTAACTCTAAATAAATATCTCTTATATAACTATAAAGGTTATATGTCATTTTTGAACATAATAACATAATTGTTTTGTTTTCTTTAGAAAACTGTGTGCAGAATGAATGCTTTTTACCAGGAATAAACTTTCCATACTGTGACTTAAAATGTAGGAACAAAATACATTTAACAGTTCTATTTTATTTGTTAAGTTGAAATTTATCCTGCAATATAATTTAGACGATCAAACTGTTACGACAATCTCTGAATGCAGTTGCCTTTGTAAAAACATCAGGACATTTTTAATCTCAAAATAATATTTTGTTTTGACACTTTGAGTTGGCTGAATATATGTTAGTAGTAAGACAAGAGGATATGGTGAAAACTACTATGCGACATCACTGGTATGGCAATGCTTATATTTTCTATTGAAAATCCCATCAACTAATGAAAAATTTTAAACTTTTTATAAACTTTCAGATTATTGTAAAGACTCTTAAATGTAAAAAATACTCTTTGTTTGTAAAAAGAAAAAGCAAATAATGAAAACAGAAAATAACGGATTTGTCCATTTATCTTACTCAAATGAGACATTTTTTCTAAACTCTAAAGAAACAAAACAAAATTGAGAATAAATATTGGGTCAGCGAGAGATTTACTTTCATTCCAAGAAGGGGCTGCTGGTGCAAACCAGAATACACGCCTCACACATTATGTCCATCTTGCATAACAGGGTCTATAACTGTTCTGAGAGGGATAAAAGCCTAAGAGAATCAGGTTATTTCCTTTCGTAAAAAAATTAAGTTAATATCTAAGATACAAACAATCTAAATGTTTGAATCTCAGAAAACAAAAAATCACAGTTGGAATCACATTTACAATAATATTTCAAATTCGTTCTATTTATTTTAAAATTTATCTATACCTCAAATATTTTAGCTTTGACCAAAAATCTTCGAGCAATAGTTTTCAGGTTGTCCTAACAGAGAATATTGTTCTGAACAAGATATAGAATACAAAGGGATAACTTTTCTAGAAGGTATATTTCACTTTAAGCAGAAATATTAAGACCTTTCCTCTTTTTAACATTGAAAATAAATCTGACATCACAAAAGAAATTATATTTATTTCAGTTGGTGGAATTAACAGTTTCAGCTTGTGTGGGTGCCAATGTAGCCGCTTAAGGAAAATTAATGCCATAAAAAACATTTTTAAAAGTATTTACACAGAGATATAGAAACATCAATCTAGCGCATTTAACCTTTGAAACAACAATTATGTTTTCAAAATTCTTAGCTGGACAATTTAATCATTGAAAGTAAACTAAAACACCTTAGCTAAGCTTTAAAATGAAATATAAAAAAATATATGGAATAAAATGAGAGATTGAAGTTTAAAGCAGCAGCATATTGGGTCCCCTTCGCTGGAGCGGAGGCCACCAGAGGAGCGGGGGAAGGCAGGCGGCCATGAGCCACCACTATTTCCCCTTCCGTACCACATATTAGCTTTTTTCTCTTCCGGCAGCCATGAGCCACCACTATTTCCCCTTCCGTATCACCACATTTTACTCTACCGGGCAAAACTACTTTTTTAAATGGTATATTTAGGGCCTTTAAAGTGTGACTTTAAAAAATCCAGCCGTGTCACGCGAAAAAGCACAACTCAAACCATTTTTTCTTAAGATAAATATTTTGTGTGTTGAATTCTTAAACTGTTTTACAATGAAATTTTTGACAAAGGGGATGGTGGAGATGGCACATTTGATGTAGAGGGGGGGGGGTTCATTTTTGGTTCAAATCTTCCAATTTTTTGGCTGCACGCCTGATTAATGATCGAAATTTCTAAAATAAAATCAAATTGAATTTTAATGACCTCTAATGACCTCTTATGACCTCCACAAATAGAAAATATTTCAAATATGGCTTTATGCATATCAAACGAAAGCTAGGAACCCAGGGAATACAGTGGCAGCAACAAATCCAGTGTTTGACCTTTTAATGACCTCTTACGGCCTCTAATGACCTAAATGACCTCCAAAAATGAAAATGTTTTAACTATGGGTTTATGCATATCAAACGAAAGCTAGGAACCCAAGGATATAGTAGCAGCAAAAAATCCAGTAATTGACCTTCTTATGTCCTTTAACGTCCTCTTATGACCTAAATGACCTCCAAAAATGAAAATGTTTTAACTATGGCTTTATGCATATCAAACGAAAGCTAGAAACCCAGGGAATACAGTAGCAGCAACAAATCCAGTGTTTGACCTTCTAATGACCTCTTACGACCTCGAATGACTTTCTAACATACCTTTAATGACCTCCAAATTGAAAATGTTTTAACCATTGTATGTATTTCAAACGAAAGCTAGGAACTAGAGAATACAGTGGCAGCATCAAATCTAGTGTTTGAACTTCTAATGACCTAAAACGACCTATAATAACCTCAATGAAAATATTTAAATATTGCTTTAGGCATGTCAACAAAGATTATTAAACCACAAAGAATCGAGTGGCAGCAACAAATCCAATGTTTGACTTTCTAATGACCTCTAACGACCTGTAATGACCTCCAAATTGAAAATTTTTTGAATAAGGATTTATGTATATCAATCAAAAGCTAGGAACCCAGACAATACAGTAGAGCGTGGTGTCATCATATTGATCTATTTGCTTTAATCAATAAAACGTTTATTTGAAACATGTGTCACTAGTGTTAATATTATTGTGACACAATTTTATTTATTTATTTTAATGTTGCAAACTAAAGAATTTACTTTTTTTGGGGGTACTTAATCACATTTTTATTGATACAAAATTGTTTTTGTGTAAAAAGTGTTACCCATTTTTGGAGGTCATTTAGGTCATAAGAGGTCGTTAGAGGTCATTAGAAGGTCAAACAATGGATTTGTTGCTGCTACTGTATTCCCTGGGTTCCTAGCTTTCGTTTGATATGCATACAATGGTTAAAACATTTTCAATTTGGAGGTCATTAAAGGTATGTTAGAAAGTCAAACACTGGATGCGTTGCTACTACTGTATTCCCTGGGTCCTAGCTTTCTTTTGATATGCTTAAAGCCATAGTTAAAACATTTTTATTTTTTAAAATATCACAAATATCACAATATTATTCAATTACTGTCTCATTATACTAATCTATCTTAAAATCACTCATTAACCAACTCCCCCATCATCCAATCACCTCATAACTCATTCACTCACCTCATCCAATCACTCATTCAGTCTTTTCATCACTCCCTCACCTCATCATACACACTTAACGCAAATCTACTCTCTTACACACTCACACTCACTCATTCCACTCACTCACTCACATTACAATTCAATTGAAATTTCGTTCCTCATAACTTTTTTATAGAAAACAAAATTCGATAGGTTTAAATATTGTTAGGCTCAGACATTTAGGGTTACCCAAAAAGAATGAGACTTCAGAGACTACTGCAGAGAAGTTATATTTATTATTCTCTGCAATAGTAAACATCTTTCTTTCTTTGCCTAATAGATATATAATTGCTATTAAAAGATTGTATTCAAGGTAGAAGATTTAATTTAACCTTGGAATCGTGATTTAGAGTTTCATGTCGTCTTGACAGTCTCATCCTTTGTGGGTAACCCTGTATGTGATAAAAATAATAGAAACAACAAAAAATCACTCATTAAGCAACTCATCTCATCTCTCAACCTCATCAACCAGTCTCTTTATCCATGCTTTATCTAAAATAGCCATCACATTTAAAAGACGACATTTAAAGAAGTTGTAAAATTGTAAAAAAAGGTAGTTTAATTTAGATTTTAGCAAGTAAACTAAGTCAATTTTCGTATTGAGGGAGCTGAGACAATTTGTTCAGGTTAGTCTGAAGAATAAGAAAATATTATAAAAATCACAATATTTACTGTCATTACTTAGGCGTTACAGATTTTGTAAAAAAACGGGGTTTTTTGCAATTTTTTCTGAACACATTGCACATTTTCACACAAGGGTTCCCTTCAAAACTGACGTTTATTTTATGGTGCGTCATTTTTTATATTCATATTGCTTTAAAAAATAAGCCATTTTTTGTGAAAATCAGAATTTAGATTTGCAAAAAAAAAGTTTTACAGTTTACAGTAAGAGAAATCATCCTTATTACATATTAACACTGAAATATGGAGATCTAAATATATATGTATTGCGTGACGCGGCTGGATTTTTTAAAATAGTGGTGGCTCATGGCCGCCTGCCTTCCCCCGCTCACCAGAGGGAATGTTTTTGTATTCAATGGTAATTACTCTATCGGAGGAATGATAATTTACACTTAGGACACTAACTACTCCAAATAATAGATGATAATTAGCACTCAGGACACAAATTACTCTACCACGGAGGGATAGTAATTAACACTCAGGTCACTAACTACTCCATCGGAGGGCTGGTAATTAACACGCAGAACACAAATTACTCCAAATAATAGAGGTAGTTAACTCTCAGGACACTGATGACTCCACGGGAGGGATGGTAATTAACACTCAGAACACTAACTACTCCAAAAAATAGATGGTAATTAACACTCAGTACACTTTTTACCCTACTGGAGGAATAAACACTCAGGACACTAACTACTCCATCGGAGGGATGATAATTAACATGCAGAACACTCAGGACACTCATAACTCTACCAGAGGCGGAGGAATAGTAATTGACACTTGGGACACTAACTAATCCATCGGAGAGATGATAATTAACACTTGGGACACTACCTACTCCATCGGAGGGATGGTAAATAACACTCAGGACACTAATTACTCCACCAGAGGGATGCAATTAGCACTCAGGACACTAATTACTCCATCAGAAGGATGGTAATTAGGTCTCAGTACACTAATTACTCCATAGGAGGCATGGTAATTAACACTTAGAACATATAATTAGGTTACCGGAGTAATTATTAAAAATTAGGACACTAATTACTCCACCAGAGTATTAATTACCACCGGTGCAATGGAGTTATTACCGTTCCAAGTGTTAATTACCATTTCTCTGATGGAGTAATTAGTGTCCTGAGTATTAATAACCATCCATCTGATAGAGCAATTAGTGTCCTGAGTGTTAATAACCATCCATCTGATAGAGCAATTAGTGTCCTAAATGTTAAAAACCATCCCTCCGGTGGAGTATTTAATGTGATAAGTGTTAAATACTATCCCCCCATTAGCATGTCATTAAAAAATTAATTAATACCCTCTATTGGAAAAAATGTCCCTCCGGTGGCCTCGCTCAAGTGAACCAAACTTCAATCAAGATTTAAAAGTTTTGCATGATTCTTTCATCACTCAGAGTGCTAATCTAACTTTGAATAAACGTATTATTATGAAACAGTATGTGTGAAAGCTTCTTCTGGGACAAGAATAGTACCTGCTTTTTAAAGAATGGAACAGGGGTCGAATATTCAACTGCTCAGGGTATTACTGGATTCATGAGAGATTGCTCGACTACATCTAGTTCCACATCTACTATTGCATCAACTTCTACTAAAATTTCTATATTAGCTACTACATCAACTTCTACATTAGCTACTTCATCATATCCTACATCAACTACTACATCAACTACTACATCAACTACTAAATCAACTACTACATCAACTACTACATCAACTACTTCATCAGCTACTTCATCAACTACTTCATCAACTACTACATCAACTACTTCATCAATTACTACATCAACTACTAAATCAACTACTACATCAACTACTTCATCAACTACTTCATCAACTACTACATCAACTACATCATCAACTACTACATCAACTACTACATCAACTACTATATCAACTTTACCATCAACAACTACATCAACCACTTCTACAACTATTACTTCTACTACTTCTACTTCAACAATAATTCCTACAAAACATCGAAGAATTTGTAAGTACTGGGTTTAAGCACTCATGTCTTATGGTAAAGAATATTCATACATATATTTTTTAAATATATGGATAAAAAAAATCCATTAACAGTTATGAGCTTGTCTCTGAAACTGTAAATTATTGAATTTGACAGATGTTTCCAACATTGCACAGTTTTATTAAATCATAATAAACATATTTGGTGAAAATAAGAAATTTTAGTACTAGCAATAATGTTAATATCTTATGATATGAAATAACATGGAAAGATTTTTTCATGTATTATTTTCATAAAGGTTTAAATGTACAAAAATAGAAAATATGCCAGATATAAATTTATGAAATAACATGTCTGTACTTTCTGATTAAAATTACACTTACGGTAAGTTAAGGCACTAGTCATTTAAAAGCTGTTAATGAATAGAACATTTATTCAATAGTTGTTAAGTTCAAAATTGGAGCTTGTGCCCCGGAATTCAGGCAAGTTTAAAATATTTCTACTTTGTTAGAAGTTAACAGGGCGATTATTTTCAATATTTTGCTAATTACATACATTTTTGCAAATCAATTTCTGTGGAGTGATAAAAAATTTTAAGATCACTTTTTAGAACTTTATTCGTAGAACACACACTTTTTGCCTAGGTTAAGCCCTGGAGCATTATATAAGGACCAATAAAAGAAGAACTGGGAAGTTTAAGAAGCTGAAAAGAATTTTAATTTAGAAATAGAGGAACGAACCGCAGAAGATTTACTTATGCATGGAGATAGTTCTGTTTTTTTTTTAAGTTTACTAGAAAATAGAAATAAAATTTATGTTTTAGTTAATTTTCTACTTAATTGCCTCGTGAAAGAAAAGAAAATGTTGTCTATTTTATGATTATGATAAGGGTTTTCAAAAAGTTTTCGAAACTCAAAATTACAGTTTTTTTTCGCAAATATGACAAGACTTTTATCAAAAATATTTGCGAAATTCAAATTTTTGAACCTCATTTTCGCGAAAATGATCGTTCAATATTGATTAAATATACTGAGTGTCCAAACTACTTAATCATAATATCCACTGTGGAAACTTTTAATTTTAGTCCTTAATCCACTCCTTTTCTCTCTCTTTGGATATCCGTACATTTATTTCTCCAATGAGAGTGCAGGAACATAGTTTGTAAATTGTATTGACCAAGGACAGCATTGAAAATAAATTCTATCCCACTAGAGAAATCCGCAATTTTTAACAAATAAAGAATTTATTGTCGGCCATTTTGTAAATTAATTGGTAAAGAAAGATATTTAATAATACGTTTGAGATTTTTTAGTAACCAATTTTATCTAATGTATTAATAAATAAATGAGTGAGAAATTAAGTGAAGGCTCTTCCAGTCAAGAAAACGAACAAATCTGGCGTTCCTAGAATCAAATTTCTTGATCTAAATATTTGATCTCGAGACTAACATAATCTCGAGATTAGCAAAAAGAGAGGATTAAGCATTAATCTCGATATCCACTATTCTATTTTTCCCAGCTCTGTTTAATTAACTCTTTTTCAGCTTTATTCTAAAAGAACTGCAGAGTACAGCCCTTTAGTATTCATGAGACACGCAATAAAATATAATTTTCTTTTAAGAGAAGGATTAATTCAACAAAAAACAAGAAAACCTTCTTTTCCAATAAAACAATTTTGATTATATAATTCTATATTTATCGAAAGTTTTAAATTGGGTGCTAGAAAAATACCGCACAGGATAATTACACGGTTGTCATATGGCACATTACACAAATAAAACATTTAATTTCCTAATATACATACAATAGTAACAAAGTAATATAATAGTAACTAAATTTTGTTACTCGAATAAAAACAAAATTTTCTGTTTTACAAAATAAATAGGGAACTAAAAGGCCAGCCTAGCAAGTTTCCTTTGACAAAACAGTTTTGGCAGATTTTAGTTTCAGGAATCTATGATAATAATTCTTTTCACTCAAAAACTGGGGTTTGAAAGAATTGTACATTATTGAATTTAAGCTCTGCTACAATATTTAGAATAACTAAATAAATTTTCATTTATAACATGTAATATCACAGAAAAAAATGTCTGAATGCTATTTTGATCCAACACATTTGAAGTTTATGTTTCATCGATTTTTAGCTGATTGAGCTTTCATAAGTAAAACGCTGAACTACTAGTCGACCAGATATTAGAATAAAATATAAATGCTCAAAGCCAAATTGAGAAAACAAACACAACTATCATTCCGTATTCTCCTTCAAAAATAATCGTGAATAATTAACAATCATTTCTGAGAACTTCACAGTCGGTGCAGCAGAACTGAACTGGACACTGTATCTTTACCTGTAAAACAAAGAGTATATAAATAGACCATCCTCTGAATATTCTTTACTAAAGGGACCTAAAACATTATTACAAGAATTTCTCCATTTCCTAACTGGGTTACCCTCTCTGAAAAGCTTTGTTTTTCAATTAAAAACACGTTGTTATTGATTAGGTTGGCATTTTAAGGGTACTGTTGTAAATTGGGCATGGCCATCTTAAATCACGACAGTCCATTTACTCACATTGACAAAAACGGACTAAACTTACACAGTACATCACCTACAGTCTCTTGACTAAACACACAAAGATTTTCCAAGCTTTTGGGAAATTAATGAATAATGGATCTTCAGGTTTTACTCTTGAAGGGACTGTCGACATAATTTCAAGGAACGGCCTCCATTCAAAATAATGGAATGTTCAATTCACAACGATACCCTTTAAACCTCAATCTGAGTAACGATGAGTATTGTGGACAATTTTTTTTAGAATTCATTTTAGACATAAAAAACAATTCTAGGGCATAATTTCGACGTTCAAAAAATGACTTTAAGTGGGTGCGTTTTCAGAATCGGGGTTTTAAAAATTATTAAATAAAGACGACAAAAAAGTGAACAAAATTCTACATTAAACCAATTAGTTGTTTAGAAACAGGTTGAAAAAATAAAAATTAACTCCTATCATCGAAAATAAGAAATCTTATTCCATCATCAGTTTCTATAATCTCTCATTACTCACAAAACTTTTCTTCAGATTTTCTGGATTTTTTTTTGAAATGACGACATTTGGAGAAGTTGTAGAAATCTGCGAACAAATTCATAGGAAAAAAATTCCATTTAATGATTAAAACCAAATAATTGGTTCTAACTTTGATTTATTGAAAAATTTCTTATTAGTTTATTGTATAATTTTTTGTTTATTTTTCATAGTCGTAACTTAATAATTAAAAAAACTATTCTGAAAAAGTACCCAACCAAGTTGATGATTTTGAACGTCGACTTTACGCTCAAACTCGGTAATTATACATCATGGAAACGTTTGATATGTCTCAAATGAACCCTAAAAAGTTTTCCACAATACTGATTCAGTTTAACCTTCAAAGATTACCGATCACTCCCTTTAAAAATAAAGACTTACTTCTAAACATTCCGTATGAAACTTTCGGTTGCAGAGGATACAAAGAAGATTAGATGAGACGAGATTTCCATACCTCGCCACTTCGTGGCAGATCTCGCACTGAAAAACAATAACATCCATTTTAAAATTTACAACATTTGGATTTTTCATCCTGGAAATTCAGATTTTATTTATCTAGGCCGTTTGTACAAAGTACAAAACTTTTAATTGTGACAAATATTATAACTTAATTCTACAAGAGACCAATTGATTTGATAACACACCTTGACCTACCATATTTGAGTCTATGTATATTGTATGTACTTAAATTATGGATGATTAAAAAATTAAAAAGCATTAATAATATTAGTTACGATCAATCCTGTAATTACTAAAAATCAGAATTGAACACTCTTCCATTTAAGATTTAATGAATTATTATAACTCAGTTTTGAGCTCAGAGTGATTCCACTGGTGGGGGTCAAGCCTAAAACGATCCATCATGGACCTTACTGTGCATTGTACATTGACTAGAATCCTAATGGTCCTATCAGTACCAAGAGTATGTTAAAATATTGCGATTTTATAACTAAAGGAAAAATATTAAAATAAAAAAACAAGCACGCAATCAACCATCATTCTTTGGAAGTTAATCGTAAAGAAAATATATGATATATTGTAGAGGATGAAATCCCCGAAAGAGGATTATAAAATCCGCAAATCAGTGGAGTCGGATCTTGGAACCAGAGAAGACCTACTCAACTTCCTCTCCTTTTATACACTCATTATTTATCATGTAATTATATTTAGAAGCAATAAATGTACTTATAAAATACCTTCTTAGAATCATCCAACCATGCTCTAGATGTAAACTTCTTCTTAGGAACTTCATTCGCAAACCTAGGCATATATTTAAATTTGAAAATGAGATAAAATAAAATAGATTGAAGGCGAGCATGCTCGATTAACAACAGTACCCATATTAACATTATCAACGGACAACCCTGCATTCGATGAAATAAGGGTCGGTGCTCCTAGCCCCCAAAATGTATCCATCAACTCAATCAAATCAAATCAAATCAAATCAAATCAAATCAAATCAACTCAAATCAACTCAAATCAAATCAAATCAAATCAACTCAAATCAAATCAAATCAAATCAAATCAAATCAAATCAAATCAAATCAAATCAAATCAAATCAAATCAAATCAAATCTAATCTACCTGCAGTATTTTGAGAACTCGCACAACGCGTGTTCAACAAGTTTGCAGTTTATTTTCAAGGGAGGTGGTATGCTGAGTGATGAATATTTACTGTCCGCTAAATAAAATATTTATGAACATTGAACAATCTGTTTACAATCCTGAATAATTGTTTACACAACTCGCCGGAACCGTGTGTGAATCTAGGGAATAAGCATTGTTCTCCATCTCCATCTATGGAGACCTAGGGGTTAATTTAATCCCTCTTTAGTTCAGGGATCAAGCATTCATGCTCATATTAAAAGTGCCTAGATTGGATATCAAAATCAAGTGTTTAAATTTAACGATACTCCAAACAAAAGTTCAACTCTCATCTATGATTTATACACATAGTAATATGTAAACCAGATAGAAAAGAGTTATCAATTAATCTGTTCAGCGTTTATCAATTACCTTGCTTTATGATTACAGTAAGTTTCTTCAGGAGGGAGAATTGCTCACTTGAACTAAACAAAACACAAAATTATACGTTCTACATCAATATAAATACTAAGCTTGTCTGTCAGTTTGTTTGTATCAAATAAACGTCAAAACGGCTGAAGGTGAATAGATACCAGAATTACAAAAAATTGCGTCCAAATAATTTTGAAATCCACGAAAACAATTTAGTATTTCTGCAAAAAATATTATTATTGGTTCTAGTCTAGGTTTAACTATTTCAAGTTAAAAGGGTTGACTTTTATAGAGTAAGTTTCGAGGAAAAGCTGGGTCCCTAGGCTAGTTAGAATAGAATAAATTTTATTTTTGAATAATCTAAAATGTTTGCCGGCATGAAAGCAGCAATGTCCTACCTACACTTGAAGATATACATCAATCCTTTACAAGCTCCGGGACCAAGTTCAGCCCAGTCGTCTAGAATTATTCATAATTAAAAAAACGATAAAAAAAACAAAAAAAACCCAAACAACTTGATAATTTTTTTTTTTAAATTGTCTTATTTGATCAAAAGTAAAACAAGAAACTTCGAATACAATTTTATTATGTTAACTAATGTAACTGAACTGAACATTAAACAAACAGTCTCCCACCATCCGGAGATAATTAAGCTCAAAGGGACTGTAGACGTAACTTCAATCGGTTCTCAATTTATTGAATGGGTTGTCCGATTTTCGACGGTATAACTATACTTTAACCAACTTTGTCTTAGCAAAAATAAAGGATTTATCTCTTTTTCTGATCATAAAATAAATTATTTTGTAAATTGCAGTTCTCTTTATAAGTCGATTGCAGATTTGTGCAACTGAAAAGAAGGAAGGTTTCGAATTCCAAATATAAATAAGAAACCTTCCTCATAGATATTCAGATAAAGGTCTACAGAGTACCGATGTGAATCGGACAAACCCCAATTAAATAGTGGGTCACTTAAAATTACGTTTCCAGTCCTTTTTAAAACAGTCCAACCATCTGGAGAATTGCAATATTTTTGCTTAATGGATCCTAAAAATATTTGGGTATCCACACTCAACACTCCACAGTCTGGATCCACATTCAACACTCCACAGTCCGGAACCACGCTCAACACTCCACAGTCCGGATCCACACTCAACACTCCACAGTCCGGATCCACACTCAACACTCCACAGTCCGGATCCACATTCAACACTCCACAGGTCCGGATCCACATTCAACACTCCACAGTTCGGATCCACACTCAACACTCCACAGTCCGGATCCACACTCAACACTCCACAGTCCGGATCCACACTCAGCACTCCACAGTCCGGATCCACATTCAACACTCCACAGGTCCGGATCCACATTCAACACTCCACAGTTCGGATCCACACTCAACACTCCACAGTCCTCCACACTCAACACTCAACGGGGCCAGATCAACACTCAACACTCTACGGGTCCGGATCAAAATGCGTAAGTAAAAACCAATTTTTACAACAATAAAAACATTAAACCAATGCTCATCCCTTCTTGAAGCTTTATGGAAACAATTTATTTAGTGCCACTAATTATTTTAACTAAATTTTTTTCTTGAAAATAAATACTTGAAATACTAAAGCACTTGTTAATCAAAAACAACCCATATCATTTCACAGTTATCACAAATCAAAATCAAAAATGTGGTAGCTTTTCCTTCATCCCATTTATCTTATTATTATTATCATTATAATTATTTCGTTACCTAAGGAGTTCACTGTGATAACGCTGGCTTCTGTGAGGTCACTGAAATAATAACATGCGATACGTATTAAGCAATACGCATGCAATGCAATGGACATGTATCAATTTTAGGCTGATTTTAAAACATGCAAGATAAAGCTTATCAAAAGTTTAGCAAAATTCATAGATTTCTATTATAAACGTTGTTTTTTTATATTTTAAAATTACTTTCAAAAATGTTTATTCTAAAAGAGTAAAATTGCAAATAAAGTCTGCGATGGTTGATTTTTATTCTCAATTCTATTAAGTTTCCTACTAAAATAAAATTGCGGTTATACTTACTCATAAAGGATGAGAATTGGCAACTGTAAAGATTTTTTCTTTTTTTTTCTGACATTTCTCTGTGGCATTTTTTAATGCTGAAACCCAAATTCAACCTTTAAATCAATATATTTTGAGAATATCAGTTAATTTAATGGTAACCAACCCTGCAGTATAATTTCATTATAACTTACCATAGGATTTGCCAGGCAAAGAAGGACCCCACATTGGGAATGCTAAAATAACATTTTGTTACAATTTTCAATACTTGGCCACAAGATTATTTTCAAGATTATGCCCCCAGAAAAAAACATTTAAATGCATTATGAAATTAGTTATATTTTTAGCCAATAGTTATGAATTTATTATATACATTTTCCAAAAAAAGAGGTTTAAAAATGCATAGGGTAGGGTATATAAAAAGGATGTAAAACCATATTTAACATATTATTATTTGTTAAAAACATATTGTTACCGTTATTTAGAATTGTCGTAGGAGGCTGATTTTTTGCATGCAAACTTGGAATTATGTATATTACATGCTTTTTTGGTTTCGAAGGAATCTGAACAAAAGTGCGTGCGCGCACGCGCTTTTTGTGAAAAAATGAGACTTTTTTGACAGTAAATCAACGTTAACTTCAATAATTGCACTTGAAAAAAATTTGCGCTTAAAAATTCACCTCCAAAGGTTTAAATATCCGCGTGCGCGCCCAATAAAAAAAAATATCTTTGAATACTTATCTGGCTAAGTTTGGTGTAAGTTAGAATAACAGTTGCATGCGATACATCAAACTATAGCAAAATTGGGAAAAAGAATTCATTTCCGAGGTCAAAATAGACATTGGAGCATTCTGACCGGCGCGCTAGTAGCCAACCATTACATTATTGGTCATCTTAGAACATTTTTCACATGTTTTTTATGTCGATTTATAAGTAATTTGGCACGAGGAATTCATTTTTGAGGTCAAAATAAATATTCGAGCATTCTGACCGGCGCGCTAGTAGCCGGCAGTTACATTATGGGTCATCTTCCCATATATTTACATGCTGTATGTCGATTTATAGGTTATTGGGCACGAGGAATTTATTTCTGAGGTCAAATTTAATATTGGAGCATTCTGACCAGTGTGCTAGTAGCCAACAATTACAGTATGGGTCATCTTAGTACATTTTTTACTTGTTGTATGTCGATTTATAGGTAATTTTGCATGAGGAATTCATTTCTGAGGTCAAAATAAATATTCGACCATTCTGACCGGCGTGCTAGTAGCCGGCAGTTGCATAATGGGTCATCTTTCCAAATATTTACATGTTGTATGTCTTTTATTAGGTAATTTGACACAAGAAATTACTTTCCGAGGTCAAATTCAATATTGGAGCATTCTGACCGGCGCGCTAGTAAACAGCAGTTCCATTATGGATCATCTTCCCACATATTTTACATGTTGTATGTCGATTTATAGGTAATTGGGCACAAGGATCCATTTCTTAGTAAAAACTTTTGTAAAACTACTCTGATTGACGAACTAGCAGCCAGCAGTCACTTTTAGGGTCATCCTGTCATATGTTTTGCATATAGTATGTCGATTCTGGGGTACTAGAAACAACAATTTTCTTTCTTAGGTAAAAAAATTAAGTTTCGGGACTCTGATTGGCGTGCTGCTGGCCATAGGGTAATTATGGGTTCAACCTATTATAGTTTTTCATGTTGTGTGTAATTTTATAGGTATTTAGATCAGAGAAATCCATTCCTGTGCACAAAACTAATTTTTAAAAACAATGGTAAGAAGAAGAATGATATTAGAAATGAATCATTTTTCCAACGTTTGTCCAGGTTGTATATCAGAGTTTAGGTATTAGACCAGAGGAATCCATCTACGTTGAGTAAATCACAAGCATAGCATTCTGACCTATTATGTGGGTTATCCTACCAAATTCCAGGACATACCACAAATCGTCTTTAAATTGGTCAAATCTAGAAGTATGTAAAGAAAAGATTAAATATATGAGGCTGGAACAACAAGTAAATAGCAGATATATAGATTAATAGCTTTTTTTTACCAAACAAAATTAATGAAAACTAGCCCGCGACATCATCTCGAAAATGAAATGATGTAAACCAAACAAAAAACGCAAATAAAATAGGAACTGTTAACAATTAATGTGTTTAACTTTTGTTACATGTATATATATGGGAAACTATGAACCAAAATTACCCTATGGCCAGCAGCGCTCCGATCAGAGTCCTGAAACTTAATTTGTTTTTACCTAAGAAAGAGAATCGTTGTTTCTAGTACCCCAGAATCGACATACTACATGCAAAACATATGACAGGATGACCCTAAAGGTGACTGCTGGCTGCTAGCACGTCGATCAGAGTAGTCTTACAGAATTTTTTACTAATAAATGGATCCTTGTGCCCAATTACCTATAAATCGACATAAAACATGCAAAATATGTGGGAAGATGACCCATAATGGAACTGCTGGTTACTAGCGTGCCGGTCAGAATGCTCCAATATTAAATTTGACCTCAGAAATAAATTCCTCATGCCCAATAACCTATAAATCGACATACAACATCTAAATATGTGGGAAGATGACCCATAATGTAACTGCCGGCTACCAGTGCGCAGGTCAGAATGCTCAAATATTTATTTTAACCTCAGAAATGAATTCCTCATGCCAAATTACCTATAAATCGACATCCCACATGTTAAAAATGTACTTAGATGACCCATAATGTAATTGTTGGCTACTAGCGCGCTGGTCAGAATGTTACAATAATAAATTTTACCTCAGAAATGAATTCCTCGTGCCCAATAACCTTTGAATAGACATACAACAATTAAATATGTGGGAAGATGACCCATCATGTAACTGCTGGTTACTAGCGCGCCAGTCAGAATGCTCTAACATTTATTTTGACCTCAGAAATGAATTCCTTGTGCCAAATTACCTATAAATCGACATACAACATGTAAAAATTGTTCTAAGATGACCCATAATGTAATGGTTGGCTACTGGTGCGCCGGTCAGAATGCTCCAATGTCTATTTTGACCTCAGAAATGAATTCCTTGTCTCAATTTTGGAGGTGAATTTTTTAGCGCATATTTGTTTCAAGTGTGTCAGGAAAATTGTTCAAGTGCAATTATTGAAGTTAACATTGATTTACTGTCAAAAAAGTCGCATTTTCTCACAAAAAGCGCGCGCGCGCGCACTTTTGTTCAGATTCCTGCGAAACCAAAAAATCCATGAAATATACATAATTCTGAGTTTGCATGCAAAAAATCAGCTTCCTATGACAATTCTAAGTTATTTTAAACACTGTTTAAATTTTTCGGAGAGTAATACGTTTCATGCCCCCCCCCCCTTTGATCAACACAAACTAGATACAAGTTTGATCAACCAAAACAAGATAAAATTTGTTCAACACAAACTAGATACAAATTTGATCAATACAAAAATTAGATACAAATTTGATCAACGCAAACTAGATACAAATTTGATCAACACAAGCTGGATACAAATTTGATCAACACAAACTGGATGCAAATTTGATCAACACAAACTAGATACAAATTTGATCAACCCAAACTGGATACAATTTGATCAACCCAAACTGAATACAAAGATCAAAACAAACTAGATACAAATTTGATCAACCCAAACTAGATACAAATTTGATCAACACAAACTGGATACAAATTTAATCAACACAAACTGGATACAAATTTGATCAACACAAACTGGATACAAATTTGATCAACACAAACTAGATACAAATTTTATCAACACAAACTGGATACAAATTTGATCAACACAAACTGGATACAAATTTTATCAACACAAACTAGATACAAATTTGATCAACACAAACTAGATACAAATTTGATCAACACAAACTGGATACAAATTTGATCAACACAAACTGGATACAAATTTGATCAACACAAACTAGATACAAATTTGATCAATACAAAAGTTAGATACAAATTTGATCAACGTAAACTAGATACAAATTTGATCAACACAAACTGGATACAAATTTGATCAACACAAAGTGGATACAAATTTGATCAACACAAACTAGATATAAATTTGATCAATTCAAAAGTTAGATACAAATTTGATCAACGCAAACTAGATACAAATTTGATCAACACAAACTATATACAAATTTAATCAACACAAACTAGATACAAATTTGATCAACACAAACTAGATACAAGCTTGATCAACCCAAACTGAATACAAAGATCAAAACAAACTAGATACAAATTTGATCAACCCAAACTAGATACAAATTTGATCAACACAAACCAGATACAAATTTAATCAACACAAACTAGATACAAATAACAGATTGTCCTATACATTCTTAATATTATGAGAAGAGGTCGGGGAGGAGAGATAACAAGAGGGTGGCAAATTTCAAGAAATAAATAGAAAATTTTTATTTTATTTTATCTCCTTACCTTTTTATCACAGCGAAACACTCTTCTAGGACTGAACTACTCCTGAGCTGATCACTAATGAATAAAATTGTATCATAATCTTTTCCATCTTCAAATCAGATAATAATAATTGCAATATTGCCATCTATTGCAGTCTTTTAATGTTACCGTTTCTTTAAGCGATACGTTTCTGGTAAAATCATGAATAGATATAAGTAGCATTCTTTGCACTAACTTTTATAAATATTGGGAATATATTAAAATATGAATATTATGAATATTAAGGGCAGGGTAGGAAAAAAATAATGATTTTGATAGAAAATATTTATCTCTGAAAAAGGTAATGATTTAACATGACTTACCAGAGCTTAAGAATATTTTTCTGACAAAAACAGACAGTCTGCATATACCTCTCCTGAAAGAAACATAGTGCAGAATTTTGCAGATAATCAAAATTATTAATCTAGAACCAAGTTCAAGGGGACGCAATTAGAACTAAGGAGGCCATCTTCTTTTTATCGAATTGTAACTGAACAAATTTACACCAAAATACAACTTACACCATTTTACAGCACTTGGCACACCAACAAATAGTCACGATTGGTTCTTCGGAGGTTAATGCCAAATTCGGAACTTTTGTATTGTATTGTTAATCTCAAAAGCTTTCTCGATATCCAATGTGGTCATTTTTAAATTTGAGGATAAATGCTTGATTCCTTTATTTAAGTAATCCCTGTATGACCACCATGGGATATCAAAGAGGGATTCATTTGTCCGAAGGCCTGCATAAGATGGAGATCAGAGATCAATGTTTGATTCTGAGTTTCACGACACAAAAGTTCTAACTTCTGGTCACGTCAGCTTTGGGAGGGAAAAGAAAGATATTCAGAAAGCAATTTATTATCAAAACCTTTGATTTAAGCGATACCTCTTTTTATAAAATTATTTATATTTAGAAAAATCTTGTAATGCAAATTATTGTTTAATTAAAAAAGATATTCCTAAAATTAAAGTTTTATAATCAAATTCAATTTCATTTTAAAAATTGTTTTCTTTAAATCTTCCTTTTCACATAGAAAACGTTTGAAGTTTTAGATTAAAATTTGTACTGCATAGCAAATTTAGGAGGTTCATGACGGCCGGTGGTTCCGTCCCTAGTCAGCCAGAAGTGCCAAGAAGATATAAAGTCAACTTACCCAACCCATGTTTTGATGAACGGAAGTAAATACAGGAAACCCATTGTCCATCTCATTCTTCACAAACTCAAGGAACTCATCAGCCTTAGCAAGATCAGGTATACCGACAGGACATCTGATAATCAATTAATTAATAGACCAGCTCTGCAACCTATCAATCAGATAGTAAAAATCAATCAACAAACCAATATTACATTAGATTAAATAAACAAACAATCAATTAACCAACTAGCATTACAACCAATCAAATAATAAAGTCAATTAATTAAACAACCAACATTACAAACAATCAAATAAAAAGTGAAAACCTTTTGATCAACCAAACAGCACTACAACCAATAAATCAAATAATAGTATATTATGCGTATGAAGAAACAATTTTATACCACATTCTTGGAGGATTTAAATACATTCCCAGAATTACATTGTTAACTCTTATTTTAACCTGAAAGGACCAGGAATTTGTAATAACAATTGTAATAATAGAGGTAAAGGATACTAACTTTGCACCTGTATTCTTTTAATCAAAAAGAAACAGGAAAAATGCCCAATTCTTTACCCTTATCAGGGGCGTAGATAGGGGACGGGGGCATAAAAGGTATTCATTCGTATAAATATTTTTTTCATGTCCATCTATAATACTTACAGGGTGGCCAAAACTTTTTTGAACACATCCGTACAAAAATCCGTACATTTTCAGAAGAAATCCGTACAATCCGTACAATTTTAGGGTTAAAAAAAAATCAATCCGTACAATCCGTACATTTTGGCCACCCTGTACTTACTTAATTTTAGGTATTTCAGAATTTTAGACCATGAAAATAAAGCCTAAAAAAGATAGATTGAGCATGCGAGATATGCCTTGTAAGACATAAGGACTTTTTAGTCCTTATGGAGATAAGAGATAGAATTTAAAGAATTTGAGCCGAGGTTTAAATCTGACAAAACCCGATTTAAATTAAGCGCCAGCTTAAATCTTGAAACATTTGGTACAATTTTAAGTGGAACCAACCATATTTAAACCGCTGAAAAGTTTTTATTTTCTTTGCGTTTGACAAATGAACTTCGAGAGGGGGGGTTTAAAGTGATAAGAGTTTTTTCTATATAAAATGGTGCATTTGGGATATTTTAGTCTTTTAAGGTGACCCCTAATTAATGGTATGGTTTAAAACAATCCGAATTTATTATTTTCTTTGTACTAGCGAAATGATATCTGAATGGGGGTATTTATTTATTTTGGAATTCTTGGCGCCCCTTTCAAGGAAAATGGAGCATTTTGGATTTTTAACCTATCGAAGACAATTCTTACAGAATGATGTGGTTTTAAAAATGAAAAATTTATATATAAATTATCTTTTGTTAAAAAACTAAATAAGTTAAGTGTGGGGTGTTCACTGATATTGAATTTCTAGGATTTCCTTTCATTGCATTTTGGATCTTTAATCCTTTGAAAATTCTTCCAACAAGATGTAGATCAAACAGTTCCCCTGATGAAAGTTGACTTTTTAGTACCTGAACCATATCGGGCAAATCTTGCATGCTGAATCTATTTTGTTAGGCATTTTTGTTATGGCCTATCATTCTGACAGACCCAAATTCTTAAAATATGCATGATATATTAACATATTTGGAAACGTAGTAAATCCAATAAGTATGTGGTACAAAAAATAATCAAAAGCAATTAGCAACCAACCAGTATTCAACCAGTCAATCAAATAGTAAAAAATCAATCATTCAATAAATCGAATAATAAAAATCAATTAATTAACCATAAATCAAATAATAAAAACCAATTAATAAACCACCCAAACGCTACAACCAATCAGTCACATTTAAAAAAATCAATTATTTAATCAACCAATCAACATTATCACCAATTAATTAAAGTCAAACATCCAAACATCAAAGCACTCATCTCAAAATAATCACATTATAATAACATTCAAGGGAAGTATATTTTTGTATTTCTTTCTGAAAATTAAATCTATATTAAATTAGCTATAAAAAGTCCAAAAGTTTCCTGTCCACTTTTTTTACAACATCTGTTCAGTAATACAAAAAATAAATTAAGTTTACATTTAACAATATAACAAAACAAAAATTTAATTCATTCAATCAAAAAATCAATTAATCAAAGTCCAAGTATTATTCTACACAATAAACATGCTTCTAAATGTTTTCCTACCTTATAAAAGTTTCTACTTTGTTCATCAGTCTAAAGAAAAAAAATGAGGTAAACTTTTAAAGTATAAATTATTTTTAATACTATCGCCAAATTCATATTTCCACAAGTGTGAAACATTAGAGAAATTGCTCTGATTCAATTCTCTCAGGAGTTTTACAATTGATGCTGAAACCATCCCCCTCCCTCGCAAATTTAGTATTTAAAATTTGACAGGGGTAAATGTTTTGATGAAAAAATATACTCGCCCCTTTAGAATTATTTACGGGGTTATTCCGTAAATTAGGAAAATGGTTAAAAAAGACCTGGAAAACTAGGCCTTTAATGCACAATTTTTTATTTTCCCCTAGAGCACCAAAAATAATTCCGCAAGAGTGGTTGATAAGAATAATAAATAAAATTTATAAATATGATTGATAAATGATAATTACTACATAAATGATATAATTATTGAATTCCGTTACCTGTAAGTTATACTCTTAAACAGGACTGAAGACAGAGCCTCTGATCTGGGTTTCGAGGCGAGAAGAAGGGGAAGGATCTGTTCTCTCAGGAACTGGGTTCCCCGGTCTTAAAAATTTGCAAGGATTAAAGAGAAAGAAGCTACCAGTTTAAGAGATTTTCCATTTGATATAAGCAGGCCTGAAGCACAAGGGTACCTTTATACCTTTAACAAACGGAAAAAACCGTTTATTTTTAAATCTTAAATTCACTGGATATTCATAATTATTGAATATAATATACTCTGTATATTAATGTGATGTATGCAACCATATGAATATCATGACAACAATCGGAAATGTTCTTATATACTCCGCCAGGAGTCCTGAAAATAATCCTAACATAAACATAAACCAGAACTGTGCAAAGAATAAAGAAAAAAATAAATTTTATGATTTTTTATAAACAGATAAAATTAAATTTTATTTTTTTTAAATGCGTAATTCTTGATTTCTGAGCAGAACAAAAACTTTTTTATTTTTTATTTTTAACAACAATAATAAGCCTGACCACGTTCCGTTAAACTATCTAGTTAAACATAAGATCGCTTGAACATGCCCAACTCAAGAGCTAACAAGAGGGCTCTTCCCCTTAGTTGTACAAATGGGAACATGTACAATTGTTCATTTTAAATTAGAGAAATACCATTTGGGAACTATCCACCTAGTAATTTTCAACTAGGGAAGGCAATTTAAGGAAAACACATATTTATGTACTTTGCTTGTCTGTCTTTCTATCTGTCTGTTTGTTTGTATCCAATAAACGTCAAAACGATGTGGCAACCCATATGAATCCCAGGGAATGTTTTAGACCGTCAAAATTAAACAATTTTGACCGAAAAAAAGAGACCATTATTTTTGAAAGAAAACCCCGCCAATTTGATCAGAAAATCCGCCAAAATGTTACTAAAAAAGGCCCCTTTTAAAGCAACCGAAGCGCTCTAAAAGCCTACTGACAAATACTTAAAGTTCACTGGTATCAATCTATATTTTAAATATTTACCTAGTTCTCGAGCAAGGTTTGTGAATTTGTGGTGTTTAAATATAGGATCCGTTCCCGGATCCTCCTTTCCTTCTCGCCGGTATTCCCACCTTATTTGCCGTTCCACAAGGAATTTCAGGAACGCTGAAAAAAATAATTTTAACTTAATGTTCATTCTCTTCAGAGAAAGAGAAATGGGTATGATAAAGGGACTCTAATCGTAATTTTAAGAGGCACTCTATTCAAAGATTTCATTGCCCGATTTACAATGGTACCCTTTAAAGCTTTCTCATCCAAATATGAATTAGATATTTATGCTTTTGTTTATTTTAATTTTGTTGTTTCTCTGCATGAGTAACTTGCGCATTTCTTGCAAATAAAAGAAAACTTGAGAACTTTAACGAAGATATCTTCCACATTTTATTAGAAAACGGTATCAAAAGGGTACCGTTGTAAATCGTGCTATGCTATCTTAGCAAGGAATGTCTTAAAATTAAACTTTTAAACTCATAATAGACACGTCAAATGCATAATGATAGCAGTTAGTGTTTTATTAATAACCTTCCCTAAAAAGTACCTGCTATCATACTCAAGGTGTTCGTGTCCTTAAACTCCTTGACAGCAGGAACAGCGTCCGCCAGAGCAGCACCATCTTTTACAAAATAAAACAGCTAAAGAATTCTACAAAATTATAATTTTTCGACATTCAGATACGTAGTAAACATTTAATAAGATTTTTTTTTAAATCAAGTATTTTTATTTGGAACTAATAGAAAAAATATTTGGTGAAAATTTAACGTTAAATTCTCCTGGTATCTCGTGTGTTTCCTCGTGACACTTTAACTAACCCCTCCCAGCCCTGTGAAATTCTTAAAAATATTTGAGTACTAAAATTCCAGAATTCATTTTAAGGTGACAATAGTAGTCGGCGTTTTTGTCAATACAATGAATATGACTTTTCGATTTAAGTTTTGACTTCTAACGAGCTTTTTTTCAAATTACAAGTTTACCAGTAAACAAAGAGAAGATGTATTCATACTGTTTGAGAGCTTGGTATTTTGTGACTTACATTCTAGTATGCATTGAGAAGCTACATAATTGTACAATAAGACCAGGGAGTAAGGAATAGAAGGGAGAGACAACTGACGCGGTTCGCCCTACCATATGATTATACATGCTTTGCAGACGGTACTCCATTTTATATCGAGCTGTTTGGTTTCTTTAGTAGGGCCCAACAGGAAAAATATGTATTGGCAAAACTGGTCAAAGAAAATTGAGCCAATACCTATTTTTCCTGTGGGGCCCTACTAAAGAAACCAAACAGCTCGATATAAAATGGAGTACCGTCTGCAAAGCATGTATAATCATATGGTAGGGCGAACCGCGTCAGTTGTCTCTCCCTTCTATTCCTTACTCCCTGAATAAGACCCATAAATTGGATTCAAGATCTGGGAAAAATCTAAATTTCAAAAATATGTTAACTTCGGAAAAAATCATATGCGAAAGGAATTGGAAATATACATTTTTTGTGGATTTGATGTTGTTTAAAGCAAATCTTATAACCGGTACCTTAAAAATAAACTTATTGCGTTAAGTAAGTGTTCACGTAAATTGTACAATACGCAATTTTTATGTTTTATGTTAATGGGACTATTTAAAATTGCAACTTGAGTGTAACAGCGGTTTCCCTTAACACAGTTTTCCCCACTGCACTGAATGATTGTGAAAAAAACGAATTAGCGAAGTGTCCAGTAAAACTATTTGCTTTGTAAAAACATCAAATACACTTGAGTATTGCTATAATGTCTACCTATTCCATTGTTTTCTGGTTATCACTGTACAATAATTCAAACATACCCTTTTCTGTTAGACCCAGGGAGGTAAGAACTGTCTTCACAGATATCTGTTTCTTGGGACCCGATGAAGAGTTTTGTTTAATCTTCTTTGGGAGATCAAGGGATGCGGTTTTCGAGGATTTACAGAAGAAACTTGTATCGATCGAGATATTCCAACTGAGAAAGTTCAGGTACTGAAACAAAACAGAGTTAGTCCTTTGGCACTCTTTCTGGACTGTATAAATTCTTCATGCAGTGGTGCATATTTTTCAGAAATGATTTAGGATGATTTGAAAAAATAAAAAATTTAAAAATCGGACATCAAAAGGCAAGTTCTTATTCTTTTATTTTATACCCAAAAATTCAATTATTTTCCCCAATCCAGAAACAAAAAAGCTAAAAAATTATTTTCAAATGGGGGGGGGGTTTTGATTTTTTTCAAGAAAATATACACTCCCGTCTTCAAATATGAAGGACCAAGTCCAAAATGCTGTCTCATTTATTATTGGCTTCCTTAAACAATATTAACCCTATCTCTGCTGGGGTACTTGAAAACCAGGATATGTTACAATTTGAAAACAAATCCGTACAATCCGTACAATTTTAGGGCTAAAAATAAAACAATCCGTACAATCCGTACATTTTGGCCACCCAGAATACGGTTCATGAAAAATAATCTTTTTTTCAAGAATTTTTTTTTTTCGCTATGAAATTACCTTTGTTGAGAAAGACCCGACCTCCACAGAGTAGACGTTGTCCTCGACATGAAGGAGGGTACAGATCTGTTTACAGGTCAATTTATTATACTTTTTCTCATACCCTGAATTAAAACATCTTAGAAACAGGGGTCCATATAATTCCATCTAATACAATCCCAAATGTTGATTGATTGATGTTAGGGGCAGAAATTTGCCATGTTGGTGTTGTAAACGATTGGAAGTATGATGTCAAGTTGTAGAAAAAATTCCATACTGCAAAATGTGAACGGAAATGTGAGTGTTTAGTTTTCTTTATATCATAATTATCTCTTATTCTGATTACTGATATTTACATCTTTTGACACCCCAAATGCAGTACATATTTCTTAAGTGTAGTACATGTACACAAAAAAATTGTCAAAGCTCTCAATGACACAGAACATGTATTTTCATGCCTCTACATGTACTAATAATCCAGATCCCCTTGGGATCAGAAATGGAATTATATGGGCCACTGTTTAAAATAAGAACAAAAAAGTTTAATTCTTAGATATTAGGAATTTAAAATAAATACATATATAAGTTTAATTATGATTTTAAAATTGTGGAACATATTCAGTAATCTTTGGTCATTTTCTTACGTCGACTTTATAAGGAGTGATTAGGATCCAGATCAATTGGATCTGCTACATTTTGGCTTCCTGGATCCGAATCCAGATCCACGGATTTGAATCCAAGGTGATGTCTACCAAAACACCAAAAAACACAAATCTCTTGAATAATTAATTCATCGGGTTATAGCATAAAAATAAGCAAAAAATAGAAATGTTCAAAAAAATAAGTAATTTTGAAGATATGTCAACGACATGGATCCAAATCCACATCAAACTGAAATAGGTACTAAGCACTGTTTTTACTTTTAGGATAAAAGTACACTTAACAAATCCGAATTGGTAGAATGCACAACTTCAAACTAGAAAATATATTTTTTTTTTTTATATCATCATTAATAAACCAATAAACTTACTTTCAATCGGTCCAACTTTAGGATAAAAGTTCTCGCCGACCGATCCACTGAAAAACAAAATTGATTATTTGATTGATTTGGAAGTTGAGGATTAAAACATAAATCTTGAAAGAGATTTCGATATTTCTGAAAAAAAATAATATATAAGTTTTCTTCAAAGATAAACGGAAAAATAACATTGAAATAAATATTTGATTATCAAAGTTTTTTTATCAAGGGAAAATCTTTAATGGTATTTAGGAAATCATTTTATTTGCAGTAAAGGGTAATTCAAAAGAAACATTATCAAAATTTCAAAAAATGATTAAGAGGAAATACCGAATATTTGCTTACTAAATGTACATGCATTAATTAATTAAACTATCTACAAATCTTTTACCAGAAATACATTGTCTTGGTTTGGATTTCCTGAAGAGAGCAGAACACACCTAAAAACAGTTAAATTAATGAAATTTTTTATTTCGGGTATGATTTAGGAAAAATATTGATACAAAAATCAGGGCAAATTGAAGATTTTAATCAGACGACTTTACAATCTAATTCTCAAATATGATAAATGAAACTATAATAACAAAATAGCCCTAGTTCTGCTAATTCCAAAAGGTGGTCTGCCTTTATTGTGCTTTTAAAATTACCAGAGATATATATATCTAAAGTCGTCTGATTAACTGGTCTTCTTGGTTTTGACTGTAGTTACCTTTTTCATCAAAAACTTTAACGTCCGAAAAAACGGCTGAGTTCGGAGAAGGACGAGTTCTAGCTTGTCTGTGAGGAACTAGGAAGGACCTAGGACCAGCCACATCCACACGAACTCTCTTCTGCTCCTTCTTCACGATTCCAGAGATATAGTCAACTTCACAGCTTCTTGACAGCTTCCTTGGGGATAACTAGAGAATGAAAGATTAGTTTGAGACACAAATTTATGAATGATTACTTTGCGAAGCATGTTTAGAGGGTGATAACTTGGATACGCATGTACAGGGATGAATACTTTGTGACGCATGTTTAGGGGTGATATCTTTGGAACGCATATTTACAATGACCAGCTGAAGAGCCCAGCATTATCCGTGGAAAAAAAATTTGAGTAAAATATATATTTTTTTAAATCGAGAAAAAATGTTTTCGATTTTTTTAGCCTAGGTATATTCCTAGAGAACGATTTTTGGACCCCCCCCCCCTCCTATAAATTTTGTACATGGATCTTAAATGGCATGAATCTTAAATATAAGACATGTGGCCACAGCGCTTGGCCCCCTAGCCTGTCCTAGCCGCAGCGCTCGGCCCAGAAAGTGTCTTAACTAACCTAACCCGTGGCCGCAGTGCTCGGCCCCCTAGCCCATCCTAGCCGCTGCCAAAGGGTGTTTTAAACACGTCACAATTTATACAGCAATAAAATGGAAGAATAATCTGTATTTTATACATCAGATATATATATATATTCAAACATTTATATGAGCAAGAGCTTTGTTATAGATTTATATTAATTTTGTTTTTAAAACAATTAAAGTTTCATATTTTGGAAAATATTTATGTATAAATATCAATAAGTTAAAAAAATTACCCTTTCCAGCTTTATGTAAGCTTCTTTCATGTTCATGTTCACGTTCCTGAATAAACAAATATCAGTTTGTGTGACAACTCACGGCTTCCTGAATCCTGATGACTAATGAGTGATACACGTCACACGTGTTGAGCTTAGTTGTACTGAACTGTAAAACCAGTTTGAGAGTAAACAATCAGCCTTCCCGGGTGGCCAGTCTACCCGGGCGCGGGCGTTACATTTGGTCTGGGTGAGTGATACATGTGAAATCCATGTAACAAAATTGATAGGAGGGGGAAGGGGGGGGGTAAAAAAATCGTATATTAGGAAATTACCACTGGTTATGTACAAAATTGATAGAAAGGGGGGGGGGTCCAAAAATTGTTTACTTTGACGGACCCAAATCATGCACATTATCATTGTTATTGAAATTGTTACAATTTTTTGTTTCTATCAATTTTGGACACAACCAGCGGTGATTTCCTAATATACGATTTTTTGACCCCCCCCCCTTTCCCCTCCTATCAATTTTGTACATGGATTTCACATGTAACACTCACCCGGACCAAATCAAATATGGCGGTTTTTAGTCAATGAATATTTTTTCTAGCACCAAGTGAAAACCTCTCATGATGTTTTCTTTGAACATTTTTCTTATCTTGCTGATTGATGGACACCAACAAGAAGTTTGTAGCAGCACTTAAGTTAACAATTTATTGCCTTTTGAACTTTGACATTTTGGCTTGGTTGAAAGTTGATATCGAGATTAAAAGTAAAGGAAATAGATTTTTGCTTCCACATTTATGTTCTAAAAAGTTCAAATGTAAATTGCCCAAACTGACAAAAAAAGGTTTTTCTCTCACAGATAGAAAAACTCGGGATTGGAAATTAATTTCGAAAAATTTTATATCCTTTTCAGTCCTTAAAGAATGGTGGTATTGTCAAAACTGTTCAAACTGTCCAAAAAGTTCAAATACCAGATACAAAACAAAACAAAAAACTATACAAAGCATCTTCACATGAACAGTAGCAATTTTCCTCTCTAACTCAACTTTTATTCATATAAATATATTGGTATATATATATGTATAACCCTGCAATTAAAGAATTTAAAATTTTCTCAATTAAGATCCTTATTGGTGCGTAATTTGACAACTACTAGAATATTGATACCCCTTTTGGAGTTTACTCTCAGAACTTACAATATATCTTCGAGACAACTTTCTCCTTTTCTTGTGCTACAAAGTACAAACCTCTAATTGGTGTTTACTTCTATTGATCAGAGATTTAAAAATCAAATTTACATCAGAGCTCTGCACTGGTACAATTTAAACAATTTTTTAACTTTTCACTTTCAAAACAATTTTCTTCTACAAAGGCATCAAAATAACAAAGGTGACCTGATATTCTAGTCATTTCATACTTTTTAAAATAACACTTACTTCGTTTGATCCTCTAAGATTGTAATACTTTCCCCAGAAAGAGCAGAACTCTAAAAGAAAGAAAAAAGAAATAAAAATGATCAAGAGAAGAAAAATTTGGCAAGATAAATCTGTTCCCAAACTGTTTCGTCTGTTCCAAAGGATTATCCAAAATCAGTTCTTATAATTCTGAGTAATGTTGGAGGAGTCAATTTGTATTCACTTTTAAAGAGTTAAAGGGACTGTAAGCGTAATTTCAAGTGACCCTACATGCAGTAATGGCCATGCCCGATTCACTATGGAACCATTTAAAGCTTTGTGTTTAAGTTTGTGTTTGTGATCAAGTGTGAATTAACTGATAATAACTTTGAAATCTAATTATCTTCAATCACGGTTTAAAATGACTTCGAATAAATCTAGAAATTTAAAAAATACATTTTATAACAAAAATTGGACTTAAAAAGTATAACAAATTATTAAACATTTAAAAAAGAAAGAAAAGGTTTGAAAAAAAATTAATATGGTCAACCTTGAGGTGTAGTGTTTGAACAGAGACTGAATAAAATATACGAGATTCCATAATCTATAACCAGAAGGGGGTTGACCGACAGTATTAAAGAAAGGAGGGAATGGGGGCGGGACATTTCCTAGCTGTGATTTAGCTGCCGACTTCCTTGTCTTTATAGCCTGGGAAATCGCAGGGAAATCATAGCTAAAGAATGTTTAACTAATCGGAAAAAAGCAAAAATATTTAATATGAGGTTGAGAAAAACTCTTTACCGATCGACTCGGGGTACCGGAGTACAGAGGATTGCGTATAAAGCGTCCCAGTCCATTAACAGCTACAGGCTCCAATACCTAGAAATAAATTATTGTTATGTGTTGTTGTTGTCGCATTCACAGCGAGGGAGGGAAGGCAAGCCGCACCCGGCCATGTAGCCATATATGATTCAACGACATGGGGTCAAAAACACCAGTCGCGATAAAAGGTCAAACGACAAAGGGTAAACCGACATAGGTCAAAAAGTGCCTGAAACGGGCAAAATTTCATTTTGACTATTTTTTGGTTAATTTAAACTATTGTTTTTATTATACTAGTAGCCGCAGTGCTCGGCCTCCTATAGCCTGTCCTAGCCATAGCGCTCAGCCCAGAAATTGTCTTAACCTAACCGAACCCTGAAATAATACAGATTTTATGCTATGTTTTATGTTCATTTGAACAACTAGCCTGTCCTAGCCGCAGCGCTTGGCCCAGAAATAGTCTTAATCGCACGCAAAACTGCGTTATTTCTGGGAAAGAGTGAATTTCTCTCTAACCATCAATCCCATTTTTTTGAGAAAATAAAAATCAGCAGGTATATGTACACAAGATTTTTAAGCATTAAAAGTAAAGACATTTTTCCGGAAGTGTCGCAGAATATTTACGCTTTTTCGGAATATTGATTAATTTAAAAATACGCTTCGTTGGGTGGCTTCTACTATGTGATTCCGTCTGATCAAAGGTTATTACGCTCTTGTTAAGTACAGGGTACGTCCCACATTATATTGGATCATTAACAGGTTCAAATTATGATTTTCGGGACTAATCCGAAAATTTAAGTAGAATGAATAATTTGAAAATATGCTTGCAGAAAATACTAGGGTTTTTAGAGAATTACGTGTGTATTTGGGAGGAAAGGCTTGGAGATAATCGAATATGATATGGGACGCTCTGTAGGTTGGTTGAGATGAGAGTGCGACTGCGGCATTTAGATTTGTGCATTATTAATTTTTAAATTTTCCATTTTTAGCCCAGATAAATAAAAATTTGCACATTGTGGTTTTTTTTAGTAACACCCTTTAGTACTAAAAATTCGGATTTATTTTATCCCTCATTGCCAGACGCAGATCACTCCCTTTAAATAGGCGAAAAACACATCGGATATTATCTTACTGAAAACCTTCTTCTTCAAACTTTTATTAAAAAACAATTCAGCGTTGTTTACAAAAAGGACGATCAATAATAACAAAGTTAACAAATGGCTTTTCGCTATATACTCTCTACTTGATCATGAATATATATTATTTGAGATCTGAAATATCAACAGATCCGTTACGAAAGACATGTAATTTAATATATTGATCAGAAAACATGACAATAAAAAGATTAGGCTCTCATTATTGTTTTGACATAACAATTTAGTTTTGCAAATAAATTATCAAGTACAAATAGGTGGCAACAGAGAAATGGACCAATTATAGACGACGTCACAAGTGTCAAATATAACAAGGAAAACGAAATTTTCTCACATTAGTTGACATGTTTTCAAAGATTACATAAAACAGTGCAAAGACAGAAAATAAAAAAACACAAAATTGCACTTATTTTTCCATAAGAAAAGCACTATATTCCAAAATTATCACTATTAATATTAAGTTTGTCGGACACAAAAACTAAGTTGACACTTGTGACGTAAGAATACAGCTGTCCTAAGAGTGTACAAGTTCTATGTTGCTATCTAATGTATTAGACTCTATTTGAGTTTTGGTATTTAATGTTTTTAGATTTTTTAAAACCTACCTCACCCCCTTTTACATTCTTTTCCTCTAGAATTTCTACATCAGAATCAGAATCATCGTAAGCCATACTCGCAGCATTAGGACTCCTATAGAAATTAAAATATGAATTACTAAGCTAGAAGGACGCTTTCATCCCTTTTCAAGTAACAATTATAGCTTTGAATTGCTAGCTTTTCTTCCTAATACTAACAAAAACAAATTTCGCATTCCTTTCTGTTGGATTGGAGGATTTCAAAAGTAATAAATGCTGACATTCTTACCGGCAATAGAATATCAAAAAGAATAGAAGTCGAGATTTTCTCCAGGCAAAAGTTCAATTTCGACCAGCTGAAAACATTCTTTCGGGAGCAACCCCCCCCCCCCCCTTCCTGTATGGAAAAATGTTTGGCGTAAGTTGGGATAATCTCAACTTAAAGCTGCTTTAATTTGAATCTAATGAATTTATCAGAAACACTTATTAATGTCTTACTTGACTAAAGCAGATGGCAGACTAGACGTAGAATACAAAACTTGGTTAAGATCTGTTTCTAGAGATTCAAGAACATCATTAGATCTCGGCTCAAATATCTGTACAGAGGATACTTCAGAAGAATCAGAGGCCCAGTCATCATCAGAGTCCGAGACCTCGCCAACAGTTTCAGCCTCTGGATGAACAGGACACTCATCAGTATCAAGAGTTACAAATGTTTTACAAAAAATCCACAATCTGTGTACGCTGTAACGCACAATCTGGGTATTATTTGCATTAAAATTAATGCTCATCAAATGCTTAAAAAATAATAAATTTACTCTATCGACATGAGAATTAGTGAATAATAAACCTTTTTACTAAATTGTGATTTAAAAACACTGTGCTCATTGCTGAAGTTACTTTGATCAACTTTAAAGGGTTTGATTAAACATTTATCATTTATCTATTTACTTTTGTTGGGTGCCATTTTTAATTTCTTCTTCACATTCTCCTGTCCCTCTCTCATATCTCGCTGTCTCTTACCACTCTAAAAACATAATGTAGCGCTCACAAGATTCCAAGAGAAAAACATGTTCATGTGAACAATGATAATGATAAAACTTTGGAAGATTATTCTTAGAAAAATCTTAATAACAGGATAATCAGATCAAAAGGTTAAATCTTTCATGTAGCATAAAATAAATAATTCAAAAAATTAGTATTTTAAAATAGAATATTTATTTGATTTCCATCCCGGGATTTATGATATTAAATTTTTTTATTTCACAAAACAAATAGTTTTCTTAAACAATTCTTTTTAAAAACGAAAAACAATGGATTTTTTTCTAAACCCTTGAAAATGTACTATAACCGATTCTTTAATGGAAAATTATACCTTTAGAATTCCTACCTTCAATTTAGGAACCAGAACTATATCGCCAAAAACCGGTGGTTTGGAGAAAACTAAAAATAAAAAAATATTTATTAAGGTAAGCAGAGGTGCAAAATATTTCATTTAATTTTGAGAGAATTTTTACTCCACATTTTTTAAATAAGTAACATTTTAAACCAGCAAAGCAGGTTTCCCATTTTATTTTTATTTTCATTTTTAATCAAGATCTGAAAGAAACGGAAAAAGTAAAAATCCCTTCCCTTTCGAAAATGATTTTTTTTCTCCCAGAAGTTCTACATATTTTTTATGGTTTTATTCCTTGGGAGAAAATAAATGATTTATGGTGGAAAATCAATGATTTATTGGGTAAAAAGTATCAACAAGAATAAAAAAGTTTTTTTTTTACTTCATTCCCCCCCCCCTCCCATTATCGAAAATATACACCCCTGGTGCAAAGAAGTCAAATCCGAGTTATTAAATAAATTTCAGGGCCCGTAGACGTGAAATATAGGGTGTGTATTGTATTTATTTCAGGGCCCGTAGACGTGAAATATGGGGTGTGTATGGCCCGTAGACGTGATATCACTATCAGGCTAATTAAGTTTATTTTTCTTGATGCTTTAAAATGTCCGATTATGTCACATTTCAGAGAGTACATTTGGATTTTTTTTTTATTAAACGCGTTTACAGAAGTTTCCGAAAATGTTGCTAGAAGAGGGGCGCGAAGTTTTGAGCTACAGAAGAGAAAGCTTAAGGTAGCTTAAGTTAAAACTAGAAAACAGTCGCTTTAGTCAAAGGTGAAACTATTGAAAAACTCGAATCCTTTTTGCACCAGCAAAATATAATACAGTAGCAAATTAGACGAAACATTTGTAAAAGAAGAACATAAAAAAATATAAATTCTTTCAGTAAGTACAAATTAACAGGTCGTACCTTCCATTTCTACGTTTTTCAATACTTTAAAAATTGTTTTATTTAGGGCTAAAAGACTACATTTTTGAATGCTCTAGCAAATACCTTTCCAGAAGGCCACTATTTACTCATTTTCAACAATGGCATTTTACGAATAAAAAGTCTATGAACCCAGTGTATTCAAGACGGATTTTTTTTTATACCCATGTTTGTTAAATCTGACGAATTTGCTTTATACAAAAAAATTACGGTTAAAAATTATAAAAAAAATCTCCGTTTTTAATTAATTAAATTAACTGAATAGTTTCTCCCTTAATACAGTCCAAGCCTAGTTCTCTGTACCTTTTGAGTTCGGAGAAGCCATTATATATCAGACTCAAGTTCTCAGTTAATTCATTGTAGAAAACAAATCTGAAAACTTGACAACTAAAAGTTAAGAAACAAAAGTATTTATTACAAGGAAAAAATCACATTAGTGCAATGTAAACTGTACAATTATCAAGAATTTACTGTATATAATAAGAAAGTATACAGTAACCCCTGGTACACAAAAGGGCACACGGTAAAATGCATCAAATGCTGCACTGGCAAATTTTTAAAACAAGAAGTAACAAACGCAACAAAAAACATTTTCTTCAGAATTCATACAAAATGAGAATAATAGCAACACATTGCCGATATACACCATGATCAAACAAAACAAGCAAATTTATTAAATTCATTAAATTCATTAAATTCATTAAATTCATTAAATTCATTAAATTCATTAACTTCATTAAATTGTAATAATTTTCAAATGGTGCTGGAAACATTTAACCAGTAAAAAATCTCAGCATGTTTCTGGAAATATGCTAAAAATGTTAAAAGCATGTCATGATTAAATTAAAAACTCGGAATCTTAATTGGATTGGATTGCCATGATGAACTTTTGTTTACTTTTGATCTTCTGTTTTTACTTATTTAAGGTCTTTATGTTCTTGGTAATTTTATAAATTGATCTGAAGACCGAGTGATTAAACTATTGATCTTGTAAATTGATCTAGACAATTAGACTTGCAAGAAAGTTGATCTTGTCAATCGATATCGTCCCAAAATTTTGACGATTGTTTTTAACTATTGATCCCGAAAATCGATCTTAAAAGTCGACCAAGCCAATTGATTTTGCTTAGAGGGTTCTGACAAGAGCATTGATCTTGTCGAGAATATCCTCCTTCTTCTTGAGGACGACCTTCTCCTGGTCAAGGTAGACTGCCTTCTGCAGCTTTCCGGTCACAAGCTTCTCAACCAGACCGGCATGCTGACCCTGGGTATTAATAGATAATTAAATCAATCAACCAACCAAGCAACCAACCAATCAATCAATCAAAAAAATCTATTAGCAAATCAATCAATCAATCAATCAATGAGTTGATCCCATTTATGAATAAATACATTTAATGAAACTCAATAAAAATGCATTTCAATTAAATAAGCTAAAATATTTTTAAAACTCGATTTTTCAATAAATCATTAACTCGACTGTGATTGGTATAATTCATAAAAAAATATTTTTAACAAAAAACTTTAATAATTTAACGGACAAGTGATTTCGGCCATAGAAAGAAAAATAAGTTTTGGAATTTATGACAATATTACATTATTAAAAGAACAAAGAGGCAACGTTTCATTTAGCTAATAGAATTAGTTATTAAAATAAGAATAAGCCAGAAAACGGCATTAACTGAAGACTGATTCAGGGGCGAATAGTGGCCTTGAAAACCGGTTTGTTCCTACCTGGAATTCTCGGAATATTTTGTCGTTCCTCTGAAGCTCGTTCACCTATGTATGTATATATATATAATGATTTCTTTCGATCCAATACATCGTCTGATCATTACAGACTTGAGCAAATAACGGGCTTTATTTCAACAGTCTCCTGACAACGGTAACAAAAACTAATTGTAAATTTAAATAACTTTTTTAATTATGTATCAGTCATGTTGGTGTACGATTGAAGCGCGAGAGTAATAGTTCATTATTAAGTATTTACGTGCGTTGATATCTAGCAAGAGTGATCCATATTGTTCCCAATAAGTGCCACTAATAATCTCGCTTTTATCAATGGGCACTTTTAATTTGAGGATCAATTCTTAATCTTTTCAATTTAATTATTCATACCTCCCTTTAGCCCCTGACTGGGTACTATTACCATGGGGGATATCGAATAAAGATTGAATTAATCTGCAGATAGATCAAGAATGGAACCATTCATAAAATTTCAACTCCGAAAAATACTGACCTTCTCTCCTAGATCAGCATTGATGTTCTTAATTGTGTTCTGGAGATCTCCAATAGCATTGCTTTCAGTTTTCTGTTCTGCTCCGATCTTCTTCAAACTATCCTAAATTTTTAAGTACATTTAAGAAATACAAGCTTCTTTAAGATTTCTCAGCAGTGCTTAGGTTCCATTTAATTTTGATACGGATCCGGACTGGAAAAAAATGGACATTAATTTGAGATTTTCGGATTTTTTGGACAGAAGAATTTTCGAATTATTTTTCTCTTTTTTTCAATTATTTTTTTCAGAGACAAGGAAATTTTTTTAACAGTTCAGATTTGAGTTCTAAGAGAGAACTTTTTTATGCAGTTTTTGGGTTGATATTGTGTCACTGGATCCAGCAAGTTCAGATCCAGATCCAACAGATCCGGATCCTAAGCACCGTTTCTCAGATTGTTTGCTCTAAATGTTAACATAACGGATATAGGATCCGGATCCGCATAATAATGAAATAAATCCTACCTGGAAAGCAGTTGTATCCTTGGTGGATTTGAGTTTAACCATGGCATCCTCCATGGCCTGATACAATGCTGATCTACGGTCCTAACAAGATAGATAGATAGATAATTATATGATCTTTATTTAACTTGTTTACCCATTTGACACTCATTATTGGAACAGTTACCAGAACAGAAGGGGACAATAGGAAAAGTTTGGGGGTATTTTTAAAGAAAAAATACGGAATGTGATAAAAACTTAATGATTTTCTTTGATGTTGAAATAATGGGCACCCTGCATATAAATGATGTTTATTAGGACACCCTGTATATACCTGATTTTTATTTATACACCCTGTATATCCCCCTGTATATACATGATGTTTATTAGGACACCCTGCATATACCTAATATTTATTAGAACAACCTCTATATCTCCCTGTATATACCTGATGGTTGGCAACCTTCTCACAGTATCCTGCCACCTTCATCTTCACCTCCGCCCCCTCGTCCACGCTGATGCTAAAGTCCAACCTCATGTAGATGATGGAGATCATGAACAACAGGAAGAATGCAGTCACCAGGATCAAGGGTTCAAGCAGCATAGACCTGAGAACAAAAAGATTGTGAGACTTGATTTTTAAAAAAAAAGAACCCGTGTCAAGTAAGACATTTTGTAATATCTCTTTCAATATTAATAGCAGCTGGTTCTATTTTTGAACGTAGACTCATTTAATTTGTTAGGAGCAGGATATGAAGTCAGATTGTCGATATCTCTTTCCAGAGTCTTGTAACCTCTGAAAAGTGACCTCCGTCGGCTCCGATTTTTTATCTCCGGCCTCGTTGGACATAAATAGNTCACTTTTCAGAGGTTCCAAGACTCCGGAAAGAGATATCGACAATCTGACTTCATATCCTGCTCCTAACAAATTATATGAGTCTACGTTCAAAAATAGAACCGGCTGCTATTAATATTGAAAGAGATATTACAAAATGTCTTACTTGACACGGGTTCTTTACGATTAATTTTAAATAAAATTTTTTAAGAACAAAATATAAAAAGTGCAGGGAATTTTTTTCCCCGACTGTTTTATCTTTTTTTTATCTAGTCATAAATCTGTTCTCTATTCTTCTCTTTTAGATATATACATTTTAATCTCTTGTACACTCTTGTTTATGTATGGTCTAACATAGCATTCCAGCAATTTAGAGTACAGCTTTCTCAGCACCTATACTTAGCTAAAACGGGAAGTTCGGGAGACATTTATTTTATTCTTACAGGGTGAAAAAAATAAAAGTCACTGCACTAAGCGGGGTCTGAAAGTTCTGAGGATATCCATTGTCAGAATTCCGCCTTAATAATGAAAAATGGGATAAGAAAGGTTAGGCTAGGAGTGGATATTTTCTCCAAAAAAATTCTTGATTCCTGTAAGTTCATGTCGGACAATGCTTCAGAATATGGCCTCATCTACAGCTATCTTTTCCTCACAGCCGACAGAGTAGAAGCCAGTATCATAGTGCATGGTGCACAAATTAGGATTCTACTTTATATGTTTCTATTTTCTCGTTTCTGGAAAGAGGGAGGGGGAAGAAACCCCTCCTTCTCTGCACTATTATTTTCTTTTTTTTCCAAGTAGGGTGTTCGGATACTCAAGAACAGCTAACCGGGTTTGTTATTAAGGAGTATATTTAAAGTAAAATCAGGATCCAGCTAGGGTAAAAATCAGGATCCAGCTAGGGTAAAAAACCTCCATTTTCCAGGTTAATACAGAATTAAAAGATTAATGCAGGCCTTCAATTTTTCTTAGAGTTCTGTTTATTTCTTTTTCATTTGTGTGCAGGGGTGTATACCCCCCGGCCATATAAACCCCTGCATAAAGTTTCTCTAGTTTGATATTTTCTGCTTGATTTAAAAATTGAAATCAACAATTTACAACGGTGGGCTTCAAATACCTTTACGGGCGTAGATGATGGAAATGTTATTTATTTTCTCCAGAATGTGACTTGGAAAAACTTTATCCAAAAAAAGTTGAAGGGTGTTTAGTAAATCTTTATATGGATAAATAGGGGTGGGAACAGGAAAAGAAGCATCTAGCAGGGCGAAAAGATTATTTTGAAGAATCGCACGAGTTTTTCAAATCTTTTTACAGAAATAAACCCGCGGAAGAATTTCACGAGAAGATGATTTTTATGAAGTAGTGTATTTTTTTCTCATAAGCATTTCTCCCCCCCCCCCCCACAAAACAACATTTCTACCATTTTTCCCTGAAATATTTTTAGATAATTAATCCCCTCAATTTGGAATCTCAAAACCAAGCTAACGAGATTTCCGTGGTTCCCCCGAGTTCCTAAATCCAAATTTTAGGCATTTCGGTCCAGGGGTTCATATGTTATGATCGGACATCCAAACAAAAAGACAAACAGAAATGACAAACAAAAATTACTACTTTATATAGATATATATGTATATTACTTGTGTGGGAATGTGAACTGGAGCTGAAAATCCTGAATATGGTTCTCAGTTAGTCCTCCGATAGATTTAAACACAACCACAGTTCGGCCTGAAACAATAAAAAATGGCTTAAACATAAAATAAAAATGCTATTAAAAAATAACTGAGTCAAGAGGACATACTGATGTTTTCGAAGCCAGCGTTAACGACAGTAGTGATTGTTCAAAATAAATGGCTCTTGTCCATCATCGCGTGTAAGTTAAGTTCATTATGCTTGAAATTTCAAGTTACAATTAAAAAAAAAGAGGCTTAAGACATGTTTGTTTGTTGATAGGATTAAATAAACGCCAAAACAACTCCAGATTTATAAACACCAAAAAATGTGATTTTTACTAAAGCATAAAAAGGCCCCATTAAAATTAGGAAAATCTACGAAAATTTGTTCAGTATATTTTATTCTTGTACCTGTAGTGTCTAGGTATGTATAATGTTTATTGTTGCTCTCCCTCTTGACGGGGTAGGGGGTAGAGAGCTCGATATTTAGAACTCCTTCAGGTAGAATAACACGAACCTCAGCATCGTCAATCAGCATATCGTCGAACAGGTGGTCGATAAGTCTCATGTTCAGAACGTGAAGGTCACCTGATAAATAAACAGAGCTAAGAACTTTAGAATGGGATACCTTTAATCCCTTTAATACCTTTAATACCTTTAATTATGATAATCTTATGAGAAAAAAAATGTAATAATGGAAATTCTTAAACGAGATGAAATAATCTTGATGTATTCTTTAACAGGCCTGAGTTAGAAAATGCTTCAATATTATTTCATCGAGTTTAAGAATTCCTTTATTACATTTTTATCCTCATAAGATTATTATATCATATTTAAGAGGTTCCATGAGCAAATACCCGAGAAATTATATTTTTTAAATTTGTGTGAAATACGACTTTATCACAATTGACATGATGAAGGGTTGCAAATAAGTTTTTTTTATTTCACTTATGCTCTTGTTCTTACTATTACTGTTTTTAATTTTCTAATGTTAAAATGGTAAAATGTCAAAATGGTAAAATGTAAAAATCATTTTTTAAGTAACACATGTATGGCCGGGTCAAGAGTCCGGTATCTTAATACTGGTATAAGAGCGGTATTAGCTAATACCGCTCTAATACCACTCTTAACACTAACACCGGTGTTTAGGAAATACGGATTCATAAGTCGCTAATGCTGCCTAATTTGTGGCAGGATTATCTAGCCTAGAACAGCTGATGCGTTCATAAGTCATCCTAGCTAAAAATGGGACTTTAAATGGCTATGTTTTATTTAAAACCCCCTTTATACGCAACATAAAACCTTCCGCTCCGCTTGCAAACATATTATTTAACATCTGTGGAAAATAGAGGTCAAGGAAATATATACCCCCGAACTTAATATTTTTCATGCTGGGTATGGGAAATACAAACTGAAGGGGAAAATAACCATTTCAGTTCAGAACAGGACAGGATGGATCTGCAAAAAAATGGAGAATTTCCTATGCTTGTTTACTTAAATCAACATTATTCTTGTTCTAGGCCCCCGGTGCCCCTGGGTGTAGGGGGGTTACATATGTTGTACGCTGACCCGGCCCTGTGCAGAGCATGTGTACTGTCAGCTGTTCCGTACAGAGGCCCTAGTCGGGCCGGTTCGCAGGTAGTGTCTTCAGTCTATCCTCAGCTTTTGTTTTAAAATTCAAAACATTGAACATATTTTGAAAAGCACAGAAATGTGTTACCTAGGCCTGAGATCGAGCTCTACAGCGTCGTCCATCACCTTCATGTGGCTGGTACTGATGTTTCCAATATCATCCCTTAAAAAAATCAATCAATTAAATCAATCAATCAGTCAACGCCACTGAAGTTTGGGAGATCAATACCACCAACTGGATAAAGTCCACCCCCCCCCCCCCCTTAGTTAAACAATTTTCCCCTTAATTTCTTAAACAAAACTACATAAGGAATTTTACATACAGTTTTCATTGATACTTCCAAATTAAATATTTTTTCAGAAAGAACACTGTTGTTATCAAAATTTTAAACTTTGTTTTTAAGAAAAATATATGCGTTAAAATATTGCGTAAAATATGCCCAGGTGCAAAAATTGCATGAAATAATCGTATGAGGGGAAGGGGGAGATGTTCAGAATGCATATGCATTGCTGTGAAATTTTGTTTACTTCAAATGTCCCAGATTAGATAATTGAAAAAAAAGAGAAAAAAGAATCCTATGTAAAACTTTTATAAAAATATTTACAATTATTACCTGTAGTACACATCTCTAGCAGCAGCAGGGAGTAAGGTTTTGAAGTTTTTAACACTGGACACACCTGAGCTCTCACGCTGGAATTCATACCGAGAAAAGGAACCCTAGAAGTGGAATAAAATATTACTTCAAAAGGGACTGTTGACGTGTAATCCTACATATTAAAAGTCACATGCCCGGTTGTCAACAGTAATAAGTTTGAACCTTGATCTGTGTTTAATGAGGAAGAGAGTTCAATTTTCTACGGAAGAATTTAATACCTTCAGCTTCCTTCTTTGACTTTGCTGCATATACTTTTTAAATGAAGGGTCACTAGAAATTACGTAAGCGGTCCCTTTAAAAATTAAGCCTGATACTAATTTTATCGCCTTTTCATCAACATAACCGACCTATGTTTCCACCAAAATAGGGAGGTTAAGTTACTTAACGTCCCTTGGTACAGTTATGTAAAAAAACACCCGCTCTGCAAAGTTTTCATCTCCAAAGACGATAAAATTGTGTACAACCACTTTTTCTGGAAATTAAAAATTTACTTAACCACGGGTTCCCTCTGAACAACTACAAATCATCCCTCGCATAGTCAAAATTGGTCTCGGGAACCCTTGGTAAAGTAAATTTTCCTTAACTTCCCTGTAAAGTAGTTGTAACTAACTAGAAATTATTGCTTTACATCAATTCAAAATCTAAATAAAAACCATAAAATATCTTTTTTCTTTTCTAGATATTTATAAAATTTTTGTAAACAAAATGTTTGAATTGTCTACTCTAAGTTACCTTGAGCTGTGCCCCACTATGCCTAACATCAACGGTCTCCTCAACCGCAATATTTCCCCACATTGACACCTCAATTACTCTGAACAAATTTTTTTAAATTATTTAAAATCAAATTTTTTTTTATCTATTTAATGCTTCAAAACTATTTTTGAAGGTCTGGGTAATAAAATGAAAAATTGGACTTCCAAAGGCAAGTTCTTTTTTGTCCCTTTTCATACTTTTTACCCAACAATTCAGCTCGTTCCCATATAAACCAGTTTTCATACTTTTTACCCAACAATTCAGCTCGTTCCCATATAAACCAGTTTTCATACTTTTTACCCAACAATTCGATTACTTCCTCTTTTATTATTTATTTTCCCAACTTTAGCGAATAAAACACTTAAAAAATTATTTTCAAGAGAGGGGAGGGGAATGATTTTTAAGAAAATTACACTCCTGGTCGGATATGAATAAGAGAATAAAACTATTTTTAGAGAAAAAAATTAATTTTAGAGAAATAGTGAATTTTAGGGAATAAAAATTTATAGGGGGGGGGGGGGAATGAATTTTAGGAAAAATATAAATTTTTAAGGAAAAAAATGAATTTTGGAAAAAAATGAATTTTAGGGAAAAAATGATTTTTAGAGAAAAAAAAAGAATTTTAGGGAATAAAACGATTTTTAGGGAATAAATGAATTTTAGGGGTTTAGTATTGAAAAGAGTCGAAAAACATGAAATGAATGTCGAATTTTTAATCATTTTCGCCAGAGACATCGAAAATAATTTTGCCTGTCCTTTGTACTATGTTTACCTAAGAAGGTTTGTTACTACAAGCATAGGATTATTATTCTCTGCGTGGATAACTAGTTCTGCCTCTGTTAGTGGAGCTATGTTGGAGTACGGCCCATACTTGATAGTGGAATCTACAACATAAAATACTTGATAGTGGAATCTACAACATAAAATACTTGATAGTGGAATCTACAACATAAAATGTTAAATTTATTTTTTTCAGCCAATACTAATAAATCTTGGATTTTAATAATTTATTGTTTTGTGTCTTGATTAATTTATAAATTTACTTTTCCAGAAATTAGATCAATCTTTTTATATCAAAGTTATCAACAAATAACATTGTCTACAATGATTTGTTAGCTTATATTCTTAATTGTTAAGACATTTTAGTTTTAAATGTCATTCTTTTCAAATATTTCCCTGGTTAAAAAACTAGTTTTTAATATTTACCTTGTTAGGAAACTAGTTTTTAAATGTTCACCTTGTTGAGAAACTAGTTCTTAATGTTTACCTTGTTGAGAAACAATTTTTAATGTTTACCTTGTTGAGAAACAATTTTTAATGTTTACCTTGTTGAGAAACTGGTGTTTGATGTTTACTTTGTGTAGAAACTGGTTCTAAATGTTTACCTTGTTGAGAAACTGGTTCTTAATGTTTACCTTGTTGAGAAACTGGTTTTTAATATTTACCTTGTTAGGAAACTAGTTTTTAAATGTTCACCTTGTTGAGAAACTAGTTTTAATGTTTACTTTGTTGAGAAACTAGTTTTTAATATTTACCTTGTTGAGAAACTGGTTTTTAATGTTTACCTTGTTGAGAAACTGGTGTTTGATGTTTACTTTGTGTAGAAACTGGTTCTTAATATTTACCTTGTTGAGAAACTGGTTTTTAATGTTTACCTTGTTGAGAAACTTGTTTTAATATTTACCTTGTTGAGAAACTGATTTTTTATGTTTAACTTGTTGAGAAACTGGTTTTTAATGTTTTCTGTGTTAAAAAACTGTTTTTAATATTTACCTTGCTATAAATTTGTTCTTAATGTTTACTTAGTTAAAAAACTGGTTCTTAATGTTTACCTTGCTGAGTTACTGGTTTGAGTTTTGTGTAAGATTCAATGTTGGCTGATGCCAGAATAACAGAAGTACTCTGAGTAGTCACAGTGTAGGGTAGATACACATACATATTTCCAATATACCTTTAACAAATCAATTACATAGATATTCTAGCAGAGGTCGGAATTTGAGTACAGATAGCGCTTTAGTATTAATAATAAAAAACTTTAATGTTAGCGTAGTGTGCAGTGTGAACAGACCCATTTCACTTAACAAATTTAATTTCAAAGTACTGGTACATCTTTTTATAATGTCGTCTTCCAATCACATTATACGTGTCTTCCTGCAGTTGAATTAAAGTCTTCCAATCCCGTTAAACGTCTGTATGTGAATTAAACTTATACCTAGTTAATTGTTTTTCTTTTTGAGTGATAGCTGCTGGGTACATTTCCTGGGCTCCACCGAGTACAACCTGCACAGTGCACAAAGTACAAATCTTTATCATTATTAACTAATGCAATAATTTCTGGGACTGCATTCCGTAGATGTAATTTCAATTTATAGCGTGACATGTCCGATATTGAAAATTCTTTTTTTATAACAAAAAATATTCTAATCTAATAACTATTTCAAAATTCAGATCTATATTCAAATAAATGATTAAATTACCTCTACTGTGACAGTAACTGATGCTCCTGGAGTTAAAGCGTTCTTGAGTTCAATCTTCCAGAATCCTTTATCAAGGTGGGCCTGAACTTTAGTCTCAGACACCCTGTATAGTGTATATATCAAGGTATATGTTTAATTGAACTTTAGTCTCAGACACCCTGTATAGTGTATATATCAAGGTATATATTTAATTGAACTTTAGTCTCAGACACCCTGTATATATCAAGGTATATATTTAATTGAACTTTAGTCTCAGACACCCTGTATATATCAAGGTATATATTTAATTGAACTTTAGTCTCAGACACCCTGTATATATCAAGGTATATATTTAATTGAACTTTAGTCTCAGACACCCTGTATATATCAAGGTATATATTTAATTGAACTTTAGTCTCAGACACCCTGTATATATCAAGGTATATATTTAATTGAACTTTAGTCTCAGACACCCTGTATATATCAAGGTATATATTTAATTGAACTTTAGTCTCAGACACCCTGTATANCCCCCCCCCCCCTTAAACTATGCTAGGGTTTAAAACCATGAAATTATCAAGGTTTTGCTAAAAATTGGAAATAAATACTAAGATAAAAAAGAAGCTGTTATTTTTGGAGGAAAAGTGTCAAAAATGAGGAAAAATCTTGCAGTTAGCTTGTGTGGTGTGTTCTTATTTTCTTAACATGCACATTGCACAATGCACAATACACAAAACACAATTCTCAATGCATAATGCACAATGCACAATAGCACAATGCACAATGCACATGCATTTTTGAAGAACATAATATCCCTCTCCTTACAAAGATTTATATTCAAATTGTTTTTGATTAAATATTTTAAACTAAAATAAAAGTTAAATTTAAACAACTGTTTTTTTTTATTTCTGAAGTTCGAACAATCATTAGATATTATTATAATATCCTCGACACAAGATCCAATGACGTCAATGACAGAAATGTAAACAAACCTGAGTTTATTGTTCAACTTGACCAGCTGACTACTCAGATCTATCGTTCTATCGCAGGATTTAACAACCAAGTCCTAAAACAATTCATTTAAGGAGACTGTAGAGTGTAGACGGAATTTTTAAGTAGCTCTCCATTTAAGGAACTTTCAAAATCAGATTGACAAGGGGACCATTCAACTTTTGTATGATCAAGAGTAGGGGAGATGACCTCTAGGAAATTACCGATATTTGTTACGGAACATGGGTCTATCCTAGAGAACGATTTTGGACCCCCCGCCCCCTATCAATTTTGAACATCATGAAATTACCAGCAAAATTATCATTATTTATCATTATTATTTTAGCCTAAATAGGGTTATGTAAGGTTAAGACAATTTCAGGCCGAGCGCTGCGACTAGGACAGGCTAGGGGGCCGAGGAAATCCATGTACAAAATTGATAGGGGAAAAACGTACTCTAGGAAATTACCCAACATTGGACATCATATAGAATATTTTATATATAGAAACACCACAATGATTATTTAAGTTGGCGAAATTAATAAACTGCAGAATTGACTAAAACTTGATGTTTAAATAATAAAAGTATTCCTGCTCTACCACTCGACAGCGAGATTATAGAACGATATGAAATATATCGAAATATAGTTTTATTTTAGTATTTTGATTAATTACCTTATTAATGCTGTCAAAAGCGGCAAATGATAAATTTGCCCCGACTAAAAGGAGCAAAGTGCTAAACTTTAACATTTTGCCTAAACATTAATTCATTCAATGCTCAGTTAAAAATTTGCTGGAAAGTAAAGGATTATAAAATAGATATAAGATATTATCAATAAAAAAATGTTATTGTAAATCTAGGCTTTTTAGTGGATATGACAAACATATACTTAAAACAATTGTACACGTATAAAATTCAATATTTATTGCATATTAGAATTAATACGACTTACACTTTTGTAGTGAGGTAATGTGGGGGAAAAAGTTTTTAAACTTATGAAAAGACTTTATTTTATCTATAAACTTTTATTTCAGGCACTTTTCACAAATTAAATACTTTTAATGATTTGGAATTTGATCCGAAAATTTGGTGGTAAGATTTAAGAGACCGCACGTCTCTGCCTGTAATTGGTTGATGTGTATCGGTCTAATCTCTGATTGGTTATAAACATCACGTGATCAAGTTCCACATAGACCTTGTGCGCAATGCCGCAACATTCATTTCAAAGATTTTTTTTTTAAACCTTTAAACTTTTGTTTTACTTATCTTAATCAAATGAAGAAAAATTCGCTGAAATTTAAAAACGCAAGAATTTTGTAAAATAAGCAAATTTCAATTTTTTTGTTATATAAAGGCGACATTATGGAACATCACAAAGCACAGACGACATTCGAAAACATTGTTATATTTTTGAATTTTAACAGAGAGAAAAGAAATGCCGCAATCAATTGTTTTCTCAGCCGCGGCAGGCTTGTGTTGTGCTTGAAAAAAAATTTATTTAGAATGTTTATTTTCTTGCGTTTTCATGGATTTGTAACTACTATTTTAGAAAAATACTTAATCCTGAAATATATGTCAAATGTCAATGTTTTTTTGTAGAGTCGCAACTTGTTTGATATTTTGTTTGTATACTTGTTGGAAACGTTTCTGTGCTTAAACTAAGTTTCTCTTTTTAAAAATTTGGAGGTTAAGATTAAAACAGGTTGATTAATTATAAGAAATTGTCTTAACCTAACCAAACCCTGAAATAATAGCGATTTTTATGTTATGTTTTATGTTCATTTGATCTACTAGCCGCAGCGCTCGACCCCCCTAACTTATCCCAACCGCAGCGCTAGGTCCAGAAATTGTCTTAACCTTACCTAATCCCCAAGTAAGAAAAAAGATCTAAAAATTAGCAAAAATTTTGCTGGAAAATAAGTGGTCATGTACAAAATTGATAGGGGAGGGGGTCCTAAATTCGTACTCTTGGACAGACCCAATGGTTGAAATTGAAGGTCTGTCATAGCCGCAGTGCTCGGCCCAGAAATTGTTAACCTAATATAACCCTGAAATAATACAAAATAAATATTTTGTTTAAAATAGTTGTTATAGTGAATAGAATATATATAATACCTATCCATGTGACGCGCATTCCTGAGCGTGCATGTGGAAGTATATGTCTCAGTCGGCTTTAATCTTTACATTTTCTTTTTACATGAAGATAGGTATTATTAAAATCATTCTCTTGAAAGATTACAATCATTTGAACTATCATATGTTATAAACCTTTCAACTTGAAATAATAAAGCAGAGAAGAAGGTTTAAATTCGTCATGAAGAGAATTTAAAGACCTTTATCATGTTCTTTTTCAGGTTCATGGAACCATCACAGGTGTTGATGTTGCAATGAACACTCACCTCAAGAGTGTCAAAATGACAATCAAGAACAGGGATCCTGTAAACCTAGATCAGCTCAGTATTCGAGGCAATAATATCAGGTAATTTTACTCTTTGGAATTAACCCCCCCTCGNCTTCGAAAGAAAAAATTTTTTCTTTATGATAAGTTCGTTTAGTATTTGTTATTTTGGGCCAATTTTTTCCTCATTAAAGAATAAAAAATGGTCCATTTAATTTTCATGTATATTTAATGGCGTTAATCTCGGCCGATCTACATGACTTATCAAATTTTATATTCATACACCTTGAATATTATTTTCCTTATCTACATATATATATTTATTATATTATTATTAATATATATATATCTTTATTATATATAGGTACTACATCCTACCCGAAACTCTACCTCTAGAAAACCTACTCATCGACGAGGGACCTAAGAAGAGGATGATGGGAGGTCGGGGAGGACGTGGTGGAGGTCGTGGAGACCGCGGTGGATCCAGAGGAGGTCCCAGGGGAGGTCGTGGTAGGGGTAGAGGAGGTCCAAGAGGAGGTCGAGGACCTCCCCGCAGATAAACTTGATTTCTCTGATCTCAGACACAATGATTATGTTCAGTACCTTCTTTTGTCGATTATTTTAACATCAGTGTTTTTTTTCAGATTAAATGTTTTAAACGAAGGATTTAATTAGTGACAGGACAACAGGATTCTCGTCTTTTCATGTATATACAAAATGTAAGTAAACGTTTTCATTAAAAAACATTGGATGAAAAGATAACTTAACATTTGGAATTAAAAAAAACGTAATCAATATTTTGTCATTTCAATTTCATGAATTTTCAGGCAGTGCTTAGGATCCAGATCCAATTCCATAACATCTCTCAATGGTCTACAATTGGCAACAAAAGAAAATAATTTGGAAATATTTTTTAATTAAAAGATCTAAGAAAACTCCTAATTAAATTGGGTAGTCAAATGCATTTTTTACTAGACGGATCCATGAATCGGATCCGTAGAAAAATTAAAGAGATCCAGTGTACAGGAAAATAAACTTGGTCCGGGCTTTAAAAAAGCGAACATTCCCTTAAAAGGGACTGTAAGCGTAATTTCAAGTAACCCTCCATGCCAAGATTGCAATGTCCGATTTACCCTTTAAAGCTTTGTTTGATCAAGTATGAATTAGATATTAATGTTTTTTTTCCCCGAAACTGTTAATTTTATTTTTCGGTTTCTCTCCGAAAGTGTCTATTTCTTTCTTACTAGAAGCAATGGAGAAACTCGACCGAAATGAACACTTTTCCTGTCGGAAAAACGACGGTATTTTCCACACTTTGGTTCAGATTAAGGTTTCAAGGGTACCGTTGTAAATCGGAATTGCCTTCTTTGCATGTAGGGTCACTTGAAGTTTGGTTGTAAGTCCCTAAAATTATCTCTTGCTCTGCAGGTTGATCAGTTGAAGATGGGTAGTGTAGACCTGAAAACACTGGCCAATGCTTACCCAGATCTCACTAATGACGAAAGACAGCTCCTAGCAGATATTCGCAGGTTTGACAGAATTCAGGGCGCTTCTAGTTACATCATTTTTATGAGAGTCCTCACTAATATTTTTACTTCCTTGAGCTCATATTATCTTGAATCTATCATAAACAATGTCAGTTCCCACAGTTTGTCCTATTTGACGTTTTTAACCAACATCAAACCTTTATTACTAATTAAAAAATAAATTAGAATATTTTATTTGGAAAAATTAGCAAATTAAACCTTTTCTTTACCTAGACTGTTTAGCTTGTATAAGATAAATTATAAAATAGAATTTCTTTATTTATGCGTTTCAGTACTCGGTGTTGTACTGTAAGCTGCACACTATTGCGCTGCTTCAAATTGAGTTTCCTTTCAAAGATTGATTGATTTATTTATTGATTGATTGATTTATTGATTGATTGATTGATTGATGTTTAGACGAAAGCAGGAGCTATTATCTGAAATAAATCAGTTAAAAGATGAGCTCTCCGAAATATCATCAGATATTGGTAAATATCAAGCATATTATACAAACTAATTTTAAATGGCGTAAGTTTCTGATACTAATAAAGTTGAAAAAAAAATTATTCAATATCCTAACCATATTTTTTAACAAATTCTAATACATATCACCCTGAGGCCCTTGCAGTGTCCACACAAAATGGGAAATATTCATTGTTACATTTCTGCTGCAAATAAAGTTTGAATAACTTTATTTGATGGGAGGCTTTCTTTTTAATGATTTTTGGAGTTTTTAAAATGTTACAAAAACAGGGGGGAACTTGCAAGTATTAATCCCAAAATTTCACACACTGGGCCGGTTATTCTTAGAAATATTTTACCCTTGAAAAATATTTTTATGTTTATATGTATTTTAGACGGGATGGACACTGAGGAAGGAGCTAAACGAAAAAACATGGCGATGGCAAAGAAAAAATTCAACATGGATCCTAAGAAGGTAGACTATCAATTTTATCCAACTAAAAACTAGGAAATAAGGAAAGGGGGAAGGTGAATGGTACTGGTCCTATTTAAGAAATTAGTCCCCATAATGTGGTGATCAGTGATCACTCTCAACGAAACGCTACTAAATTATCGGCCAGTTCACTGCAAATTACTTCACCACCGAAAGCTTAGTTGAGTGTGTGACAGATATCTTGTTTTTAGCGCATGCGCACCAGAAACCAATGTTTTAAACCTAAAGTCTTGGATATGATCGTCTTTAAAACGAAATAATCCACGTCAACGTAAAATATGTATTTTCATTCAATATAATGTTTTTGTTTGTTCAGGGGATCGAGTTCTTAATCTTGCAGAACCTTGTGAAGGAAACACCGGAGGAAGTGGCGCAGTTTCTTTACAAGGTTAGTTCGTTCTAGAATACAGGAAGGAGGAGAGGCCGGGGGGGGGGGGGTCCTGTGACTGGTGATGGGACATAGCTTGGTTTGTTTTTGAGGTTTTGGTCTTAGGCACAACACAAATACTGTCAACTTCCAATCTGTAAAGTTTGCTTTTATTAAATATCGTTGAGGTGATTTTGGGAATTAAATTTTTTTCATCTTTCTCAAAAAAGAAAATTAATAAAATTGTTATTCCGCTTTTTCTTTGTTAAATGTCGTGTTATCGAAAAGTTTTGAGGACGAGTGAGAAAGAATATAATTAACGGGAAAAAAACATTTAATGAGAAAAAAAAATATATAATTTTTTGATTCATGGGAGCATGTTTGGAAGAGAAAAAAATAATTTTTACAGAAAAAAAAACATGATTTTATAAGAAAAATTAAAATTTTTTTATTATTTTTAAAAAATGCAATTGAATTATGTTTAGGAGGAGGGTTTAAACAAAACAGCTATAGGAGATTATCTGGGAGAGAAGAAAGATTTTAACGAAGCAGTTCTTAAAGCTTTCGTTGAGCTTCATGACTTCACTGACCTTATCCTTGTCCAGGCACTCAGGCAGTTCCTTTGGAGCTTCAGGCTTCCAGGTAAACATATCTTTTATTTGCAGAACAACCTGAAGAGATCCGCCCACCCCCCCTCTCCCTTCCTCGGAAAAGAGTCACCCCTCGCCCCTTAAATTGCTTTTCCAGGTATGGTTAGGCTGAGATAGATAGATAGTCGGTCATGAAGGTTTACAGTTACACAGATAATGAGGGGGGGGGGGCATGGTGTATTTGATTTAAAACGCCACCAGGCGGTGCCCGTGCCCATCAATTTGGAGACCACTGCCAAGGTTAATAAGCACATGTATTTTTGTTTGGTTCACTGACAAATTGTTGCCATGCCTACTGTACTGTTTATATCTCCAGGTGAAGCCCAGAAGATTGATAGAATGATGGAAACCTTTGCCCAGCGCTACTGTCAGCTCAACCCTGATATATTTACCAACTCAGATACTTGCTACGTTCTATCATTCGCCATCATCATGCTTAACACCAGCCTTCATAACCCTAGTGTCAAGGTAACTTAAAGGGACTTAAGATTAAATTAAAGATGGCACTCAAAGCAAGAAATGCTCAAAAGTCACTTTCGCAGAGAAATCGCAATTGAAAATAAACAGTTTATAAAAGCTAAAGCATGAATATCTAATTCATTCTGAATCAGACAAACTTTTAAGGAATGGTGCCGTTTTAAATCAGGCTTTGTCATCTTTGCAATGAGGCTCATTTGAAATTACGCTTACAGTCATAAATAATCATGGAGGCTCAAAATCTTTGTAATATATTGGCAGAGGTACGTCGGACATTTTAACATTTTTGACAAATATTAGCATGTGACAAGTGTTCTTACAGATCCATCTTTCAAGAGATTTTTATATGTATATTTTTAGCGTCCGTAGCTCGATCATGTCAATGTACTAATTATGATTTTTAAAATCACCGACTGATTTGTAGACAACCTTTATATGCCAAAAAAAATCCTCTAAATGAAAAAGTTTCACAGCTGAGAGAGGTAGGGTAAAAAACAGGAGGAGGGTGGTTAATAATATCAATTATGTTCAGGATAAGCCAAGTGTTGAGCAGTTTATAAATATGAAACATAAACAGAGGAATCTATGCCCCCTCCCCCTCCTTGCTTGGGTTTACATTATCAATTATGTTCAGGATAAACCCAGTGTTGAGCAGTTTATGAATATGAAACATAAACAGAGGAATCTATGTCCCCTCCCTCTCCTTGCTTGGGTTTACAATATCAATTATGTTCAGGATAAACCCAGTGTTGAGCAGTTAATAAACATGAAAAGATGAATCTATGCCCCCCCTCCCCTCCCTCTCCTTGCTTGTGTTAACAATATTAATTATGTTCAGGATAAACCCAGTGTTGAGCAGTTTATAAACATGAACAGAGGAATCTATGCCCCCCCCCCTCTCCTTGCTTGGGTTAACAATATTAAATATGTTCAGGATAAACCCAGTGTTGAGCAGTTAATAAACATAAAAGGAGTAATCTATCCCCCCCTTCCCTCCCTCTCCTTGCTTGTGTTAACAATATTAATTATGTTCAAATTCCAGTGTTGAGCAGTTAATAAACATGAAACATAAACAGAGTAATCTATCCCCCCTCCCCCTCCCTCTCCTTGCTTGGTTTACTTCTTTACTTCTTATTTTATCTTTAATTTCTCGTTTTTTGAATGGAATGACAGTTTTCTGTGTCGAATATTTTATAGTCGGTAAAAAATCGTGTTTTCAAATTGGGTAATTAAATCCTTCTTTTTAATAGGATTTAAATTTGCTAGGGAAACATTTTGACAAGTTTTGCTTGTTACTTCTTTCATCCAATTTCTCGGTAGTTTTAGTTTTTTTCAATTTTAACAGGAGTTTAAAAATACATCACCATTTTCAAATATGACAAACTGGTTGATATAATTGATATTGATGCATTATGCTTCGTTTGACACATTTAGTCTTCTTTGGACTCATTTAGTCTTTTTATGCAGTTTGTCTTATTCTGATGCATTTTGCCTTAAGGTGCATTTAGTTTCTTTTTTGTCTTTTTTACGCATGTTGACTTTTTTGGTGCATTTGTCTTCTTTTGACACATTTTGGCTTCGTATAATGCATATTTTTTTTAGTATTAAGACGGAACCCTTCAAGATACCCGAGGATGATGGAAATGATCTGATGCATACTTTCTTCAATCCAGACAAGGAGGGCTGGCTGTGTAAGCAGGGGGGCAGGTAAATATCTTCTAGAAACCGACCACGTGGAGGGGAATATCCGAGTCAGAAAGACGACGATATCATCCTCCTTGATATTCAGATTATCTTGGAAAAAGGGACCTTTATGTCTATTTTAAAATAGGAACTATTTAAATAATGATCTTCCTGATATCCTTCAGAAGAGATAATTTAGGAATTAAAATCATAAAACAAAATTACTTTATTATAGAAGGAATAAATATTTGTAAGAACTAGCCCTCTATTATCGCTTGAAGCTATGTTTTTTTTATTACCTTTTGATGCCATGTTTATTTACACATTTTTTTTACTTGTTGATTTGTAGGTACAAGAGTTGGAAAAGAAGATGGTTTATCCTGAATGATAATTGTTTTTATTATTTTGAGTTTACAACAGACAAGGAACCCAGGGGGATCATTCCCTTGGAGAATATTAAGGTAATACTGTAAGACCCATAAACTTATGGAAAATGAAGACTTCTTTAACAGTTTTTATTTTGAACAGTCTAATTAATATAAAACCAAAAAATGTGTACTGAAGATCTAATTAACTGTATTTTTATAAGCATCACTGTCGTTAATTAGGTTTTATTTTTAGAGTTTTCGTTTGATAAAAGACGTAAAAAATACAAACTTTAGGACCGTTGTAACTTGTAAATTGGGCATGGCTATCTTTGCTTAAAATTACGTTTACAGCCCCCGTAAAGGGAGTGACCAAGATCGGGGTAATTTAAATTAAATCCTAGAAGGATCAGAAGTGTCCTGTTTAAACTATGAAGCAAGTGTATTGAATATATGAAGTTTATAATATTTATCCTAGGTTCGTGAGATAACAGATAGGAATAAGGAACATTGCTTCGAACTATACTCGGGAGGAAATGAGGTAAACAATTATTCAAAAAAGATCAACAGGAGTAGTTGGGATTTATCTAATGTTGAAAGAGCATGCTAAAATATGGGGATTTAATTTCTGAATGGGATGAGGATCGAGGATTGAGGATCGAGGATCGAGGATCCAGGATCGAGGATCGAGGATCGAGGATCGAGGATCGAGGATCGAGGATCGAGGATCGAGGATCNATGAGGATGAGGATGAGGATCGAGGATCGAGGATCGAGGATCGAGGATCGAGGATCGAGGATCGAGGATCGAGGATCGAGGATCGAGGACGAGGACGAGAACTGAGGATGTAAGCACTGCGTAAAACTATGTATTAGGTTGAGATAGAAAGTGTTCTAATTTTTTGCAATGATAAATAATATTGACCACTTGAAGATTACTGAAGGATGGAGAGTGGTCTTGTGGTTAAGGAAATGAGAAAATATTAATATCTGAGATCTTTTTAAGTTCTCGCACTCCAACAACACTGGGTTTCCATATTTAGCTTAATTCTTTTTCCATCCTACATCGCCTGTTTCAATTAAAAGAAATTTGTTGAGTGGGTCTGACTGGAGGGCCATTCTTTGAAAATTAATTATCAAATGTTTACAAACTCAAACTCACAGTGCGCTTTGCACCCCAATTTTTTAAATATTTATTACTGATCACAGAAAACCTTTAAGGGTACCTTTGAGTATGGGTTTGTCAATCTTAGTTTATAGAGAGTTATTTAAAGTTACGTCTACAGTCTCTTTAAGAACCAGATAAAAATTAGTTTAAAATCGAAATTAACTCAAAGACTTAGATTTAGAATTGGATAATGGATACGTTATATCCCGATCGCTTAATCTGAATATCATAAATTTTCTCTATTCGCTCCTTTTCTCTCTTTTTGGATATCCCTACTTTGATTGAACATGACCAATGAGTTTCCACTAATTAAAATGGCGCGCAAAATTTCAAATTTCCCGCTTCTCTGATTGGCTGTTCCGGTTTCTCCAAGCGCCATTCCATTGGTTGAGTTATATACACATGTGTTTATGCAACCTTAAGATTATATTTATCTTGTGATTAGCATTGATCTCAATATCATCAATTTTAAAGTTTTCAGCTCAGTTAAAATATTAAATGTCTAGGTCATCAAAGCTTGCAAAACAGACAGCGAGGGGAAGGTTGTTGAAGGGAAACATACAGTCTACAGGTAAAACTAACACTGAACTTTAATTTGGATATTTTAGAAGTACATTGATTGCCTCTAGATATAAATAAATAATGAATAACAAGTATATAAAAGGAGAGGAAGAAGAGTGGGTGTTTCCAAATTTATTCTCTACAAGATATTATTTCTGTTCTCAGTTTTTTTTTCACTATAGCATGCAATAAACTATGGAATAAGCGATACTTTGTGTGATGTATTTGATGTTTTTATAAAGAAAATAGTTATATTCCAAAAGCTTGAAAATTAACCTATTAATTGATACATACACGGTAAAATTGATTTGCTCTCTGTCTATTTTAAATCAAAAATTAAGTTTAACAGTAGTTTTTCTATTCCACAGTTTATTTGTTACTCACAGTGTTCCTTAAGTATTGCTGAGCAAAAACAAGTTTCCGTCAAATCATATTCACTCTGTCCTGGTTAGATATTGAAGGTTTTTTTCAGATACACCCTGTACAAATGGAGACATCTTTAACATGCTTAATAACTTTTTTCTGTTAAAGTTATTTCATAAATTTCTTTTCGTAGACCCTTCTGCATGCATTACCTTGTTTAGTAAAAATTTTCATGAGCCTCCTTCCAAAACTGAGGCCTGGACGTTCACGAGCGTTTAGTTACCTATTTTACTCTTTATTTGTGTCTTGAAAAACTCGCCATCCACACCAACTTGCACCAAACGGGCTTCAAGGACCAAACAAGGAGGGTAGAATACCATTTTAAATTACTAGAGGATGATACCTAGGTTTTCATAAACCCCATCATGGATCAGAAAAAGGTTTCTACCAAAACATATCTCCTTGTCCTGGTGAGATATCGATGTTTGTAAGACACACCCTGTATAATATAAATGCAAGAGTATGATATAACGGATACAGTTTTAAGTGAAAATATAGTTTAGATGAAGATAGAAGAGTTAAAGAAAAGGTATGGAAGAGTAAGGGAAAAATAAAGAAGGATTAGGATACCAGTAAATAGGAAAAATGGAAGGTGTAGATTGTAAAGGTTAAAGGATAAGGATTACGATGATACGATAATCATCGTATTAAGTAATGTAAGTGTAAAGAATAAAGATGTAGGATTAAGATGGAAGAGTAAAGGATAATTGATTCTTGATAAAAAATTAAGGTGGCAAAGTGAAGTATAGAGATTTAAGGATTAAAAAGATGAAAATGGAAGAATAAAGGATAAGACGGATAATTCATATAAAAGTTTTAAACAAGGAATTTTTCTCATTTGAACCAAATTGTCATGAAATTTCAAGCTCAAAAATGTACAGGGTGTATCTCTTGGAACCAGCGATATCTCACCAGGACAAGCAGATATGATTGAATGGAAACCTTTTCATGATGACGTTATGGAAACGTATGTTATCCTCTTTAAAAAATTCAAACGGCATTCGCATTCTTTGTTTGACACTTTGTGGACGTTTGAAGCAAGTTGTCGCAAGCTGCGGGTTTCTCAAAACATAAATAAAGAGTACAATATGTAGCTGAACGTTCTTGAATGTAGACTTGAGTTTTGGAAGGAGGCTCGTAAAAATGTATACTGACATGAGGAAAGGTCTAGGAAAAGAATCAATGGAATAACTTTAACAGAAAAAGAATTACATCTAAAAGGTGTCTCCAGCAGTACAGTGTGTCTTATAAAAAACTTCGATATCTCACGAGGACGGAGTGATATGATTTGACGGAAAACTTGTTTCCAATCACCCTCATGCATGAGAACCAGGAACAAGTTGAATTTGCTCCGCAATACCAAGTTAAACCTTTTGCTCTTATTTTTACTTGGAACAGTCGAGGATCTTTGTAATTGCCTTTTTAATGTCCTTTTCACAAGAAATACTTATAATTCCATTATTGTTAATGAGCAGTCAAGGTTTAAAAACATAACTACTAAAAAATTTCATATACATTTTGAAAGTTCAATGTTAAAACATGAAAACCTGTGACGAAGTTGATATATAATATACAAAGAAAAAATGGTTGCAGGGGGGGTTATAAACTTAGAAAACTTGAAGGATGCAGAAATCAATGATTTATTAAGTAAAATTTTTCTGGTGCCATTAACTCCGATTAAACCATAAATTAAAATATTTTTAAGGATATTTATTCTGTATTACTAACTATTTGCAGGATGTCTGCGAGCACTGCAGAAGATAAGGATGATTGGATAAAGTGTATACAGTAAGTATTAACACCATTTTAATGTTAAATAAAAACAATATTAATGAGTTATTTTTACTTTAGTTAACAAGATTAGCGAGATTTTTTTAATTTCTTACTTATCGAATTTCTTATTTTCGGGCATCGATTTTAAAACTTATTTTTAATTAACAAATATGAAATGGGTCAAATATACAGTATTTCATAAATTCAAGACTATTAATTATCGCAGACGTATCGTTGCGGAAAAAAGCATTGCAGACGAAACTAGGCAGACTAATAGCAGACGGAATTTTGCAGACAAACCGAAGGTCACTTATATTCTTTGACCTATTATTGTTGAGAAATCTCTGGAAATGATGTTAGGCAATGCGGGAGGATTTTTTTTCAGAATTCTTGCATGACGTTTTAGAAAACTTAACCCCAAGTTATTTTGTATTTTTTATTCAATTTTTGTTTAATTCTTATTTTAAATTAATATCTAAATAATTTTTGGAGAGGAAAAAATTAACTTGTTTTCTGATACAAACCTTATATTCCTAATTCCGCATTTTTCTCCTTTTCTACAGAAAAATGTTGCATTAAAAATAAAGTTTGGACTATAGGTTAATGTTATTCAAATCATAGTTTCACGTTAAAAATCAATATCATGATGAAAGATAATTAATTTTGAATATATTTTCAGGCAAAGCATAAGTCACAATCCTTTCTATGATATGCTGGCAGTACGGAAGAAGAAAGCGCAGTCTCGGAACTAAATATTTTTTCTGTTCTAATTATTGATTAAAAGAAAAGTTCAATTGTTGATAAATAGAAGTGTTCGTTATTGATCGATAAGAAAGTTCTAATTTGTTATCAAAATGAAATTCAATTATTGATCAATAGGAAATATAAATGATTAAAAGTGCTTACTACTGATCAATACGAAAGTAATAAATATTGATCAATAGGACAGTTCTAATTATTGATCAATAGGAAAGCTTAATTATTGATCAATAGGAAGTTCTAATTATTGATCAATAGGAAAATTTAATTTATTGATTAATAGGAAAGTTCTAATTATTGATCAATAGGAAAATTCAATTTATTGATTAATAGGAAATTTCTAATTATTGAACAATAGGAAAGTTCAATTTATTGATCAATAGGAAAGTTCTAATTATTGATCAATAGGAAAGTTCTAATTATTGATCTATAGGAAATTCTTATTTTTGATCAATAGGAAAGTTCAAATTTGGTGTACAAAAAAATAAGGTTGCCCTTGATTAAAGAAATTTCAAAATGTCTTAAAAAGCAGTAGATAACCCCTTTATTATTTAAATTCAAACTCTTATAGACGGAGCTTTTTTGATTTAATAAAAAAATGGATTAAATTCATGAATTGAATTTATGAAGAAATATACATTTATATGAAATTTGGTCTGAACACTTTTTTTGTTAACATTTGAAGTATTCTTATATTAGATTATTACATGAAAACCATGTATTTTGTAAATCCAATCAAAATAAGATTTAAAACTAATGATTTGTAAATCCGCGGAGACGTGACAAGCGAGTNATTTGTTGCTGACAGTCCCTTTAAACCTTCGTTTGAGCATACAAATGAAGTTATATTTGTTGCTGACAGTCCTTTTAAACATTCGTTTGAGCAACAAATGTAGTTTTATTTGTTGCTGACAGTCCCTTTAAACCTTCGGTTGAACATACAAATGTAGTTTTATTTGTTGCTGACAGTCCCTTTAAACCTTCGTTTGAGCATACAAATGTAGTTATATTTGTTGCTGACAGTCCTTTTAAACCTTCGTTTGAGCAACAAATGTAGTTTTATTTGTTGCTGACAGCCCCTTTAAAGAATTTATAGAAACCATGTAAATAAATTTCTTCCTTTTCCCTTTCATGAAATTCATTCTGGATCATGGCTTTCATAGAATAATACGTTATCAATTGTACGCAAAAAGCAAAGTTTTAATTTTAGTTTTTCCTGCGATATAGAATATATATTATATTGAGATATACAATATATATTATATTAAAACATTACAGTATTATGATGTAACATGATCTTATAGTGAAGACCAGAGATTTCTTTTATTTCATGTTCTTACTGTAACATATTCAGTATCTCAGTTCATAGTTAAATTGTTATTCTAGATTAAACCTGGGTATATATTAATAAGACCCCCCTCCCCCCATGATTTATGAAGATTTGGGAAGGTAATGAAGAAGTTTATATAAAATTTAAGGGCGGGCCGAGGGAATAATTATTCAGAATAATATATACCCTTGAGATTTAAAGTCACTGTGAGTTTCAAATGTTATGGTGTTCTACAGTATTTCCCTGTTAAATGTATTTTCACTAATATCTTTAATAAATAATAATAACCCATGTTTTTTTTGTTCATAATAGAACGCGGTTTTATTTTTGTTCTAATATCGTGTATTTTTCTAAATATTCACTCTTTATCACTCGGCTTAACATTACTTTTCGAGAGGGGGCGGGGGATTAACCCCTGAGATGATAGTCTTCTTTCCCCTGAATATATGTATTTACACCCCTGAAATAAGGTTTCTAATGTTTACCGGCGAGAATCCGAATCTAATCAGTTAAAGTGAAATCTCTGATATTTAGAGAAGGATTTATCTTCAACCTTCACACAACCAGGAAAAATAACATTTTTTATATGAAAGAGTAAAGGGGGTAATCCCCCGCCTCCCCTTCGGTTCTATTAACACGTTCAAATTATGTTGATATGTGAACCGCAAGGCTTTGAAGTTCGTTTGATGTGAACTTGAAATTGAGTCTTTGCCACAAACTCTGATTTTCTAATCCCTATGTCTTTGCAACTTAATGTTGTAAACCTTAAATATTGTAAAACATAAATTCTGTTAGATCCAAAAATATAAGTTTTAAATATCAAAGGTCACCATCCACTATTTCTACGGTGAGCTCCGCCCCCCCCCCCCCCAGCTAAATAGACGCTTTCAAAAAAATGTTGACATTATTGTAAACTGTAAAGGTTCGAAGTTGATTGTGAATTTAAAGTAATTGAGCCCCTTAATCTTTGCAACCTAATGTTGTAGACCTTAGATATTTTAAAACATAAATTTTATTAGATCAAAATTATATACGTTTAAATATCAAAGGCTTACACCACCAACTAGCTCCACTAAACTGAAAATCACTGCAGAACAGATCAAAAGCTTTGTTGAGGTTGCAAAGGTATTAAGGGTAAGCAAATTTGAGTGTTTGGCAAAGAATGAATTTCTTTGGATATTTAAAGCATATTCTCCATACAATTAGTTTGTAAAGTGTAAACTGTAAATATAAAGAGATTGCGTCTTAAATATCATATTGGATTATCTCAAGGAGTATGAAATAGATATAACTGACGCTGCCCGCCCTACCATATGGTTACACATGCAGACGGTACTCCATTTGTATAAGAAATATTTGCCTGATGCAATAACCTAATATTTGTCGTATACAATAACCTATTCTGAATATTTCTTATTCATATGGAGTACCCGTCTGCAAAGCATGTATAATCATATGGTAGGGCGGGCCGCATCAGTTGTATCTCCCTCCTATTTCATACTCCTTGGATTATATCCAAGCTATGACGCTAAATTACGCACATAATTCTCAAACAACTTAGTATTTTCTGCAGGCTTATTTTTACATCAGCATTTACAATTTTTCTGAATGATCTAAAATTGCCTGATTATCCCAGAAATCGTAAGCCATTAACGATCTAAAACGACGTGGGACACCCTGTAGATTATAATATTTGCCTTTGCGCTACTTCCCAATGTTAAGAAGAGAAATTAATCTGATTCCCTCGTCTAATTAGATATCCAACCTTAATCAGAACAATACACGGGGGTTTTATTAAACCTGATAATTAAGATGATACAATTGGGGTGTCTTCAACTTTGCTTGTCTGTCTGTTTTTTTTTCTAAAAAACGACTGAACCAATTTCGTGTGTGACCTCACATGACCCAAGGGAGGTTTAGAAATGATCAAAATTTTTGCTTCCAACAAAATTCGATTTTTAATAAATTTTTAAAATTCCACTAATTTTTTTTTTGTAGAATAAACAAACTTTTTTGTTTGTTTTTGTTTTACAATGTATACAGAGAGAAAATGTTCACAATTGAAATAGAAGATGGGCGCGAAGCCCTAAAAGCCTACTATTTTATAATTTGGAGAGTACAAGGGGTGTCCCAATTTCTGTTATAATTTAGAGAGTACAAGGGGTGTCCAAATTTATGTTATAATTTAGAAAATACAAGGGTTGTCCCAATTTATATTATACTTTAGAGAGTACAAGGGGTGTCCAAATTTATGTTATAATTTATTAAATACAAGGGGTGTCCCAATTTATATTATACTTTAGAGAGTACAAGGGGTGTCTCCCAATTTACATTATAATTTAGAGAGTACAAGGGGTGTCTCAAATTATATTGTAATCTAGAGAATATAAAGGTTGTCCCAATATATATTATAATTTAGAAAATACAAGGGGTGTCTCAATTTATACTATAATTTAGAAAGTAAAAGGAGTGTCCCAATTTATGTTATGATTTAGAAAATACAAGGGCTGTCCCAATTTATATTATAATTTAGAGAGTACAAGGGGTGCCCCAATATTTATTATAACTTAGGGGTGTCCCAATTTATATTATAATTTAGAAAATACTGGGGATGTCTCAATATATCTCATAATTTAGATAATACTAGGGGTGTCCCAATATATCTGATAATTTAGATAATACTAGGGGTGTCCCAATGCATTTAACAATTAAAAGAATCCAGTCTAAAAGTCGTCTTTCTATTTCATAGTTTCTGTTGCTCCCTGCAGCTATATATAACTATTTATATAGTTTAAAATTACCCAAACCATTGGCAAAGAAAAGTTATTATAGTTTCGTTCCGAATTATGATGAAAATTATTTTCAGAAATAAAGAGAATAGAGAAAACCAAATGGAACTGATCTGAATCTAATATTTTCTTAAAATTATTCCATTGATGGAGGAAAGTGGGTCAGTGTCTCTAAATCTACAGGTTTATTGCAAGAATAAACTTTTATGATAAGAGGGATTTTCATACAGAGTGTCCCAATAAACATAGGAATTAAGTAGCGAATACAAAATCAAGGAGAAAAAAGGTAAAATAAAAGGAGTAGAGATCAGAGATAAGATAGCAACAGGAGCGGGGAAAGAAACCGTAAAAGGAAGGTTGAGTTTGGAAATTCTAAAACGTTGCAATCGTACAGATCTTTTCATAAACAGAAAAGTTTGTGAAAAAACGGGTTAAGGAGGGAAAATTACACGTTTTTGGGTCTTAACTAAACCAATCAAAAGAATATCGAAAAGCAAAAAATGTACCCATGTTAGCATTTTTTTACTATTGGTTTGAAGACAGAATGTCTTTAGTGACAAATTCGTCCTTGTAAAATTCCCATGTTTACTGGGACATCGACCCTGTACAGTTTATTAAATTTTTAGATTGGTGTATGTATAAACAACCCAATAATCTTTTTTTTTATTAAGAAGTGCATTTTCAGGCATGTAAAATTTATGCTTATTTCATGAATTTCTATTTATTTTGAAGAGAAAAAACGATCATTTGGCTGTTAAAACCACAGGGTTTAAAGTAACTCCTGCAAATGAAAGCCTAATATTACTTAGACCCATGACACATTGATATGATTCAATTCAATTAACATGATTTTCAATTTTTTTATATTTGCATTTCTAAAATATCGATTTTAATTATTTTTTGCCGTTAAAAGCTTGTCTCTAGTTTCTGGTTTAATATATATTGTGTTAAATTAACGTTTAAAGTTTTTGTCTCTAGTTTTTGGTTAAATATAAATTGTGTCGACTTAATGTTTAAAGTTTCTGTCTCTATTTTCTGGTTTAGTATAAATTGTGTTAAATTAATGTTTAAAGTTTCTGATTAAGTATAAATTGTGTAAATTAATGTTTAAAGTTTCTGTCTCTATTTTCAGGTTTAGCATAAATTGTGTTAAATTAATGATTAAAGTTTCTGTCTCTAGTTTCTGGTTTAGTATAAATTGTGTTAAATTAATGTTTAAAGTTTCTGATTTTGTATAAATTGTGTAAATTAATGTTTAAAGTTTCTGTCTCTATTTTCAGGTTTAGTATAAATTTTGTTAAATTAATGATTAAAGTTTCTGTCTCTAGTTTCTGGTTTAGTATAAATTGTGTTAAACTAATGATTAAAGTTTCTGTCTCTAGTTTCTGGTTCAGCATAAATTGTGTTAAGTTAATGTTTAAAGTTTCTGTCTCTATGTTCTGGTTTAGTATAAATTGTGTTAAATTAATGATTAAAGGTTCTGTCTCTATTTTCTGGTTTAGTATAAATTGTGTTAAATTAATGTTTAAAGTTTCTGATTTAGTATAAATTGTAAATTAATGTTTAAAGTTTCTGTCTCTATTTTCAGGTTTAGTATAAATTGTGTTAAATTAATGATTAAAGTTTCTGTCTCTAGTTTCTGGTTTAGTATAAATTGTGTAGAACTAACCCAATGTATTGGATGGGGTTTATTACCCATGCTTGAGATATGGCTGGGGATATATCGTTACATTAGTCAATACACTTCTTCAGTACAAACCAACATTAAACAAACATACTGCTTGCATAATCAGGAATACAAACCAGTACTAGACAAACATACTGCTTGCATAATCAGGAATACCAACCAGTACTAGACAAACATACTGCTTGCATAATCAGGAATACCAATCAGTACTAGACAAACATACTGCTTGCATAATCTGGAATATCAACCAGTACTAGACAAACATACTGCTTGCATAATCAGGAATACAAACCAGTACTAGACTAACATACTGCTTGCATAATCAGGAATACAAACCAACCATTACTAGACAAACATACTGCTTGCATAATCAGGAATACAAACCAGTACTAGACTAACATACTGCTTGCATAATCAGGAATACAAACCAACCAGTACTAGACAAATATACTGCTTGCATAATCTGGAATACCAACCAGTACTAGACAAACATACTGCTTGCATAATCAGGAATACCAACCAATACTATACAAACATACTGCTTGCATAATCAGGAATACAAACCAACATTAAACAAACATACTGCTTACATAATCTGGAATACCAACCAGTACTAGACAAACATACTGCTTGCATAATCAGGAATACCAACCAGTACTAGACTAACATACTGCTTGCATAATCTGGAATACAAACCAGTACTAGACTAACATACTGCTTGCATAATCAGGAATACAAACCAACATTAAACAAACATACTGCTTACATAATCTGGAATACCAACCAGTATTAAACAAACATACTGATTACATAATCTGGAATACCAACCAGTACTAGACAAACATACTGCTTATATAATCAGGAATACCAACCAGTACTAGACAAACATACTGCTTGCATAATCAGGAATACCAACCAGTATTAAACAAATATACTGCTTGCATAATAAATGTCTTTTACCAGTACTTTATTTTGTTGTTTTTAACATTGCGTTATTTTTTTCTTTTAACAGTGTTTTATTATTTTCCTTTAACAGTGAGTTATTATTTTCTTTTGCTTTATTGGTTTTTTTTTTTCAATTTGTGAAAGTCTTAAAATCAATTTGGGTTGCCATTTTCCATCTATCTATACAACTATATAACTATCTCTTAAACTTTATAACTATCTATCTGTCTAAGCATATCTTTCTATCTATCTAGAAATATATATATCTATCTATCTCTTTCTAAACATATATATATATCTATCTACCTATCTAAACATTTATATATATTCTTGATCCTTGATCCAACCAGTCCCTGGATACTCAACCCTTGATCCTTGATCCAACCAGTTCCTGGATACTCAACCCTTGATCCTTGATCCAATCAGTCCCTGGATGCTCAACCCTTGATCCTTGATCCAACTTATTCCTGGATACTCAACCCTTGATCCTTGATCCAACCTATTCCTGGATGCTCAACCCTTGATCCTTGATCCAACCAGTCCCTGGATACTCAACCCTTGATCCTTGATCCAACCAGTCCCTGGATGCTCAACCCTTGATCCTTGATCCAACTTATTCCTGGATACTCAACCCTTGATTCTTGATCCAACCTATTCCTGGATGCTCAACCCTTGATCATTGATCCAACCTATTCTTGGATACTCAACCCTTGATCCTCGATCCAACCTATCCCTGGATACTCAACCTTTGATCCTTGATTCAACTTATTCCTAGATACTCAACCCTTGATACTTGATCCAACCTATCCCTTGATAATATCCTTATTTTTATATTTCTAAGATGAAGAAGATTGTTTTCTGGTTGTTGAGAGTTTACTGTTGAGTTGGTTTAACTACTGTTCAATAGATTAGAACCCTGATTTATTACCACATTCTTTATAGCCAGGGGGGGGGGGTCAGTCCATCCTTTGTGGGGAGAGGGAGGGGGGGGGGCTGGTCCAATGCAGTTATTATTAAAGAAATTGAACACTTCCTTTAAGGCTAGTTTTTTTACATTTCAAACTATGAATTATATATTAAAGATCAAATAGTTTGGAATATCATCAGATTATCAATAAAGAAGGGTTTGAAAAATCAGAGTTTTGGGAAAGTAATAAGTAACGTTGAGAAGTCTGTGATTCATAATTTGAACAATATCTTTTGAACCCATTTTGTGGTTCTCTAAACTTTAATCTAAAAAGTTTTAATTAAGGATAGAAACAGAATAAGACTTTTTCTGTGCGTCCCTTAAATTTCATATATAATGGTTTGGGTTTTTTTCTAAAAAAAGTCAAAACTATTTTTTTTCGTTCGTTACATTCATTTTCTAACTTTTCGATAGTTTTTTAATTAACTTTTTTTCCGTTTGGTCCATGAGATGAAACAGAACGAAATTTCCTTTAATTTATAAAAACTTTGATTTTAAAAACTTTGATAAAAAAAACTCTGCCCATTCCTAGTGATAGGTAAAGTTTTAAGGTCCGTTTTGAGATATTTAGGATTGTGAGTTATTTATTAAATTGCAAAATTGTATTCTGCTTAAAGATATTAATCGATTTGAAAATTAGAGTTTTGGTTAATATCTTCGGTTAGAAATATTTGGTTAATATCTTCGGTTAGAAATATTTGGTTAATATCTTCGGTTAGAAATATTTGGTTAATATCTTCGGTTAGAAATGTTAATTGCATGAATGTAATGCAAGCAAACTTGTCCTTAGATTCTTGCGGATCTTCTGAAAAGTCTAAACACTTTGAATATTGTAAAAACGTGCCTCAAAACGATGCACATGAATACCCAGCCAACCCTAGTCCTGAGTCCCCATCTTACGTTGATAAATGGAATCAATTAATTAAAGGAGAGTGCAGAGACAGGGTTGGGTCCGATAGAGATGTATTATCATCATTATTTATACTTGAAGGGATGGTTCAGTTTACGTAGTCAGAAATTTGTTTAAGGGCTTACATCTTTTTACTTTCACCCATTGGGGCCCCCACAGCCCCCCCCCCCC